TATTGCCTAACTTAGATTCTTCAAGTAAGAAAAAACAAAGCGAACAGAAAACATTAACTTCATAGTGATTATTTCTATTTTTGTTGGGAGCTGAACCATGCAGCTGGGTCACAGGAATTTCTAATCACAATGGGCTGGAGCTGAGCCAGCTTTTGTTCCTAAAATCTCTCCAGAGACATGCTTTTCAGTACACAGCTAACGTCTGCTGCCCTCCTTGGGAGTGCACAGAAGTCCTCTGCAGAAAGACCCTGCTCCTGTCTTCTTATGATTCCTGTGGTCAAGCTGCAACCATCTTAGTTGCAGTGGCCTTGCATGGCCGTGATTGCCGAGGAAGGAACCAGCATAAGACGCTCACATGCTTTGCCAACCAGTATGAACTGAGATGCACCTGATGTTTGCTTCTTGCAAGTTTTAGCTGGAACTACTCAACACAGGAAAAAAAACCAACAGTTTTGTAAGGAATTTCAACTGTAGTCCTTTTAGTCCTTTTCTATGCAGCACAGCAAGCTCAGGTTTTCCCTAGACTGACAACTGTTTTTCACCGTATTTTTGCAGTGCTTTCAAAATCACCCAAGGTTTTACATGCTGAACAAAGACACATTGATGTGCTTGGTATTTGTTTTCTCTACTTACAAACTGCTTAAAACTTTTTAGTGCTGCTTCAAGGCAGCAAAAAATCACAGACTATTACAAACCATTTTCTGCGTCTTGGTACTCTGACTAAATAGTTAACCTACACCAGTGGGTTCCTGCACTGATGACAGTGAATTCGCCAACAGTATAACTCAATTTAAAAAAAAATAATCATAATATTAAAAGTGAAACACACAGAAAAAGTGCTCATTTTCTTTTATTATCTGTGATTTCTTCCTTATTTATTATCGTTAGAGGAATTTTATCAAAATGTTTTTCTCTCTGCTTTTGCGTGTTTTGGGCTTGCACGCTGGGAACTGCTATGTTGATTTGACCACTAAAGAAGCTACTACACCACAAGAATGCAAAGACAATCAGTTAGAAGAATATTTAAAAAAAAAATTCAAATGGATAATACTTCAGTGCATATGAATTAAATTCCAGTGCTTAATAGAGAAAGCATTTTTAATATGTTCACTTTCTTTCTCCTTACTGGGGATTGTAGCCATTATTCTGAAAATCTGGACTTTGCTGGTAATCCACAAGGACATCCAAGATAAAATACAAAATATTTTTATTCTGGGGAGAGGTGGAAGGAAAAAAGAAAAACAATTCTGAGAGGGTACAGTTGAAATAGTAGGGTTACATTTACGATGAAGAAAAAAACATTAAAATCCAGAGTATTTTTATATTAGAAGTTAAAACTATGTCTTCTGTAATTCTGTGATGAGTAATTGTAATATAACTTAGCAAGATTTGCTGTACAAAACCTAAATCTCCATCTTTTTTTAACAGATCTTAAAAGGATATTCGGCTAACTTAAATGTAACTACAGCAACAATTTGTTTAGAACTTAAAGAACTTAAGAACATAATTCATTAATCCCACCTTTATTTCTTATATACAAGTTAAAAATGATTTTCAGAGAGCATGAAAAGTATTCCTTAATTTGCTTTCTGAGACAAATTTCCTTTTTGCACAATTAAGCTGACTTCAGTGGGAATCTTGGCTACTTGTGCAAGGCTGAGTTTATTTCTTCATGTTTCATGGAGGAGGTAAGCAATGGAAAGTAATTGAAATAGGATGTGTTTTTAGAGTTGTATATGTTTTGCAGATGTTCAGTCACTACCCACTCTAATTCAGAATATCTCAAAGAAATTATTACACCCAGCCAACATGAAAAGGTGCACTGTGTTCTATCTACACAATAGGATTTAAAACTTAATTGTGAAAGGGAAAAGATTTGGAGCAGTTTGGGAGAAATGATGCATTTAGCATGCGTGGGAGAAGGCACATATATATAGGAGAAGGCAGCAGAAAGTTCTTGCTAACGGTGTTCCAGCTGGAAGTCTTCCAGCTCTGAGCTAAAAAATTCTTTGGTTACAGGTCACTAACTTCACACAAGCCTTTTGCCACTATGTAATGTAAGGATGCAGAATGAAGTCTCACAGTATAACTCGACATTTATTGTACAACAAAACAATGTTTTTCACATGACATGCACTGGGTTCAAATAATAATCTGGATCTGTTAAGTGAACCTAGCAGCACATCTCTCCCCAGTGGCTCCTCCGCCACCTCAGATCAGAGAGTCATCATCAGTGCTTTGCAGGAACCTCCTGGTCTATGTGTGCTTTTCCAACAAATATAACAAACATAAAATTTTTTGAATTCCCCATGAGAACAAGTGCCTGTGATCATGAGGCTTCTTCCAGCTATCTGCAGGAGGCCTCATTAACTTCCTTCTCCTGATCAGACAGCCTGTAGTGAACACCCTCAGTGGTGTCACCCATATTATCCTGTCCCTTAATTCTCATTCATAAGCTTTCAATTTGTTCCTCATTCACATCTAGGCTGAGATTAGAAATTCAAGTTGCTCTTCCAAATACAGAGCAACTCCTCTGCCATGCCTTGCTTAGCTTGCCTTTCCTGCAACATCTGTAGCCATCCATGACAGCATTCCAGTCATGTAAGGTATCCCACTGTGTCTCTATGATTACAGTGAGATCATGGCCTTGCAACTGCACTAGCACTAGCTCTTCCTGTTTATTCCCCATGCTCCATGCATTGGTATGCAGGCACTTTAGAGGAGAAAAGGGAGCAGAGGATGCAGGTATTCCTAGAGGGATGCACAAGGACTCCCTGTAAATATACCTGCTCTTGAGGCAGCTGGCATTCTGGCTCAAGGAAGGCAGCTAAGGAGCATTTGTCACTGTTCTAGTTGTCCTGGCTCATTCCCCAGTCTGTTGCAATGGCATGAACATTGCCACTTTTGACTTCACCCCTCCAACGCCTTCAGCTGAAAGCCACCCCCACTGGGTTAGCCAGCCTGCTGCCAAAGATTGCCCTGCCTCTTCCAGGCAGGTGGATCCCATCCCTCTTTAATAGATTATAATCTTCACTGAAAGTCCTGTCATAAAAACTGTCATAAAAACCAAAACAGTGCATGGGCGCTGTCCACGTAGCCAGGAACTGCTAGGCATTGTGCGTCTGTTTCTGGCTTCCCTCTTTTCTTCAACTGGAAAACTGAAGAGGTGATAACCAGGGCATGAGGATTCCTCATCTGCGCTCCCAGGGTTTTATGATCGTCTTTGATTCTGCCCATGTTCTGGCTTCCAGCATCATTCATGCCCACGTGAAAGAGCAGTAGTGGAAGTAGCCCGTGCTCCAAACAAGCTGCAGCACACACACAGCAAACACACACACTGACCTCTCCGAGATTCTTCCACAGCATGAGCAGCAAAGATAGAATTTGTCTCCAAAGTACTGATCATTTGCAAGGCTCTCATAGTGTCATTCTTCTACGTGTTCATTGAAGGAAGAATGTCTCATCAGAGACAGACCTGCACATTGTTTGAGGACTCTCCCACAGGCTACTTTGTAGGGAATGCCAGTGCTGGAATACCAACTCCTTGCTACCCTTAATGGAACTTGTATTCCATTAGATTGCAGCACTGTTAGATTTAAAAATAATGAGTCACAGTGCAAATGGAGGTATTACAGTATATGGTCCAGAGTAATAAACCCCAGAGTATTATGGGATTTATTTCTTCATTTAAAATTTCAATGTAATCTAATTTAGTTTTATTTTCAAATTAGGCATCTCTTTTCCATAGAAATACAAACTGGATTGTTTTGTCACTACCTTAGCTTTTCTATTTCAGAGCAGACAACTCATTTGAATTTCGTGGGGGTAAGTGTGGGAGTTGACTAATTTCTATTTGAAAATAGTGAAATGTGTCAAGTGATTTTAACAGTGATATGTATCAACAAGCAAAGTGAAAGCCATTATTCGAATAACAAAAGGAGGATAAATACCTACTAATAGCCTTTGCTTCTTACATGCCTCTCAATTTCTTCAGTGACCATTCAGAAAGGTCTTCACTGCTTTCTCTTTAGGTGTATGCCGATTAAAAAACATTATACAGGAACAAGAGAAACCTTATGCTTCATGGGTAACAGACCACTGGTAGGATCACTACATTCTTCCACTTGAATATTCTATTGCATTGAAATGGGTCTTTAAAATGCTACTTATCGCTCTTCTGCTATCTTCCCTTTGAACTCCACTGGTTTTGATACTACTGATCAGATCTATCAGATGTGATCTGTATGATCTGATCAGTATGTTTTGTTTGCCTTTCCCCTTATTCCTTTCTCCTTAGACCTGTTTATATGGATTCCTACAAAACTGAACTATGCAAGCACGGTTGACTTCTCTTAGGAAAGACTAATTAGTAGTACAAAAAGAAGTCAAAGATACATCTTTATTGCGACAAACAAACGAGATTAAAAAAAAAAAGAGATATTTAAAATTGCACAAGTTTTAGTGAATATTCTTTGGTTTTGTTCTCTTGGAGGAAACACTAAATGTTTATTGTAACTATGTTATCTGTGTGATAGCATTTGGAGTTACCAAATTTAAGCAGTGATCTTCTGTGAACACAATCCTTGAGACTTCTGTCATATCTGGCTGCAATAGGATGTACAGTTCAAAAAACTTAATGAGAGAAAGTTCAATTACGTAATGAAACAGGTTCTGAAGGGTAGAATGCACAGGGCGTCTGTGTGGTACAGTCCTTATTCTGCCAGAGCAGTATGCACAAACAGAAAAGCACTCAGAGTGGTTCTGTGCTTAATGTTATCTCTGGAACATCGGGATGCACAGCAGAAAGTGTGACCGCTTGCCACTGTGCCTTTGTGAGGAGTGCTTTCAGCATCAAGTGGTAAATGCACTACATCTTCAACCACCAGGAGTAAATCTGGCTCATTTGTACATGACTGGCATACTTGCATTTTTTTCTCCACTAAGATCGATTGACAACACTTTGAAGATACTCTTAAAAGAGAAAACAAAGCAGACACAAGTTGCCAATGGCCTTGTTTTTATTTAGGAGCACATAAAAAAAGTTATGCCACAGCTTTGGTTGACTGGAATGGTATGCATACTTCTAACAGTATTTTTTAAATAGTAAACAATGTGTACATTCAGTTGTGTGCGAGACAAACACTGTCAATAACAGTTAACTACAAAAATGAAATGTTTTAAGTATATAGCTGTGAAACCCTTCATATTTTTGGTATTTAACCAGCAGTTTTTATAATCAGAGTGCTGAAGCTATTTCACATGTAGTAAAGACACAGACCCTGTGGCAAGGTGAATAAAAATTACAGTTGCACTGGCTCTGGAGATGAAAAAGAGCCCTACTGAAAAGTATTACTCAGAAGCTATTCAACTTAAACACGAAACTTTAACTTATAGCTTATTAAGTCAGTAATAAATGTCTTCCACTTGAACTGAAACAAGTGGACACTGTTTTCATACATTTGGAATAAGTGTAATCATCAATGGTTTGTCATGCCACAGAAAATGACAGAACTGCTGAGACTGGATGATTACTGTATATAATCCAGTAACGCGAGGTTCCACTGGTATGGTAATGCTTCTCACAAATCTTACAAAATAATCAATGTCCTTTAATAAGACCTGCTGTCTATCCCCTAGATTGAAAGGACAGGGTTATGGAAATCCCCATGCCATGCTCAAGCCTGAGTATTTTGCAACGTCAGCAGCTGAGTCCTGGCAGATCACACTCTCTCTTTACTTTGAAGGGATGGGAATACAGTATAGACAGAATATTTACAATTTTTAGGGTAAACTGACTAGAAGACCAGCTGTAACCTTTTCTCTTTTTTATAAACCCTGCTTTTTAACATCATCTTTTTGTAGAAACATATGGCAAAGCAAATAAAGCTGTCCTTTTGGTAAACAAAAGATTTCTTTTGATAAAAACATATAAAAGACAGTTTTATCTGCTGGATGATATACAGGTACCCGTATACAAGCATGTATACTACACAACAAAAGAGAAGGTACTTTGAATGTTACAGGTCTGATGTAAACAGAAATTAAAAATAAGGAGACTCAAAAGTAGAAGTACATTGACTCACTCCATCATGCCTACTTATTGCAGCATATACGATATAAAATTGTTCAAATGCAGAAATCACCTGCTTATCTTTTAAAAACAGCCAAAAGAGATTTCTTTGGATATGTAGTTAACTTTAAAAAAAAAAAAAAAAAAAAAAAAAGAAAAAAGAAAAAAGCTTTTAGCCAAGATGTGTGTTACATTTCAGCCCACAAAAGAAATTTGCGGGCAAATTATAAACTCCTGAAAATAGAAGTTCATAATGACAACGGACAATACTTCATTACAGTGACATCAGCAGAGCCTCTGTAACACGTACTACTTTTGAACAAGTTTACAGTCAATATCTGAAGACAATGAAAAGGTTCATGTGCAGCTTTTTCTTTAGAGGTGTGCAGTTCAAACTGATAAATAAATGCATTTCCTGAAATATGTAGAAAATGAGAAAAGACATTTGACAAACATATGTACAATGCACATTAATCAATCTTGTTTAAACAGAAGGTTCTTAAATGCACTATAAATTGCAGGCATGAATGGCTTTTGCGTGATCAATTATTTGTTTGAATGAGTACTAAGAAATCATTTAAGAAGTTCTTTCCAGTTTTTTCTGATCAAATGCACTTATTCTCAGAAAGAGTGTCACTACTAAGTTCTTCACCTAATGAGGGTTCTTCAACAGATAGCTTAACATCAGGTACACACACAGAAGATTCACTGGAAGCTGTACAGATAAAGAAAATAAATTATTAGGTTCTACATTTAAGAATATCCATGCTAAAATATCAGAAGCAAGAAAAATGTGAGGGAAGTGTTGTTATTTCGTAAGAAATAGCATACTGCTTTGACAGTGGCAATGAGATGCAGAAAGAAGCAAAGGAATTGCAGTTGATCTCAGCATCTCACATTTCCAACAAAACATTCTTGCCTCATGTACCATCACAGGAAGGTGAGCTTTCTCACAAAGGCCTTGATGTTCTCAGGTGATGCATTTACACCTTTTCAGACAGCATCTTTCAGAAAATCTTTTATGTACTATCTTACACTTGTTTAAACAAACTACTTTTGTATTGTAATTTTCTATTTTGAAGACCTCTTAATATATGCAAAAGGACTAATATTAAGAAAAAAAAAACATTTTCAGTATAAAATATATATCACAAAATGCACTTGTAAAGCAAATATATGAAATGACTTTGGCTCTAAAACTGTTTTTCAGGAAAAGGACCATTAGGTCCCAGCTACTATACAAAGCCCGAGATACTGCAAACAAATTGTATCCACAAATTGAATAACTCAAAGAAAAATCCACTGTGGTAACGTTTTCAGCTTAGGGTAAAAAAGGGTAAAAAAGTATTTTTTTTCTTTTTTTGCAAGTATTTTTGCAGCTTTTGGTCTGTATGCAAATGAGCAGCTGAGCTCAGTTAAAAACCCAAAAACCCAACACTTAAAAAAAGAAAGCTTTTTACCGTGTTCATGTGTGTGGTTTTAATTACCAAGGGAAGAATATATTGTATGTGGCAAGATAATGTTATTTTAAAAAGCATTAAAAATGTTATTTTCCTTTGACCTTGTGTACATGTATATAAAATTTCTGCTTCTACAAGCTTTGTCTGGAAGTTTTTCTTTAAGTGATCAAAATTCACTCACACAGCAACAGTGTCTGAATTATTCTTCATTTTTCTTCCTTCTTCAGATTTGTCAAAAGGAGATCTTCAGTTAGAAACAGTCAACTTTTTTTTGCTAGACCATTACTATACTTCATGTTAGAAATTCTAGCATTTAAACAATTTTCCTTTGCTTGTCTCTCTTGGGGATAGCCAGATATTACTGTCACACTTCAAAATGAAAAACTAACAATTTTGATGCCACAGAAATCCTTTCCAACATCTCAGAGAAAAAGGGAAAATAATGACTAGTTCGGTTTCATTATTAAAACTATTTGTGCAACAGCACTGAATTCAAATTGACCCATAAAATGACCTCACAGACAAGGAATGTTAAGAAATAGCTGTCCTCAGAAACAACGTAATATGTAAGAAAACCAACGAACCAACTGAAAATACTGCTGGAAATAATTCAGTGAAATTTTACAATTTTGCCCCTCACAGAAGTTACTTACATGAAGCTGGTTTCTCTATTGCTGGCTTTTCTGGCAAAGTTTCAAGTGGTGTTGGCTGGATTTTTGCAGGGGTGTATGTATTCAATGAAATTTTTCTTCCTGACAATGGACTCATGTAAGTTGGAGAAGCTGAAAGGCAAAAAAAAAAAAAAAAAAAAAACCAACCAAACAAACAAAAAAAACCATTAACAGTAAAAACACAGCTTCAAAAAAATGCAAACAATTGTACTACAAAACTGTTGTCTGTCTGATATTATCTGTTTGTCTGTCATGTTCTATAAAAGCCACTGTTATTCAACATGCAACTCAACTACAGATTTTTGATTATTGCATTGCCAGTTAAAAAAATCTTTAAAAATTTAGTTTGGAAAGTGATATAACTTCATGCTGCCACTAATCCAAGTTTCAGGAATTACTGCCTTGACAGAAAACTGGCAATAGCATTAATGCTACTTCCCACAGGTGATGAAGATTGCACTGGAATGCATATTTAATACAGAAAGTGAATGAAATGTGTGTACAGTACATTACTCTCCAAACAACTGCATGCATTGTAGAGAAAGCAGAGGGGGAACAAAGCACATATGCCCTCAATTCTGTCAGGTCAGATTTCCATCTGGTGATAACCAGACCACCAGAGAATATTTTAAAAATACTGTCACGCCTTGTGTACTGTGAAAACTTGAACTGCTACTGAAGTAACGCTGTCTTCCCAACCAGCGTAACATAGCTGAGAACTCTGACATTCTTATGACCTACTGAGATCTTTTCCAGTAAAACCAGCTTTCTTAATTGACCTCCCCTCCTACATATAGGAGCCCCACGCTATCAAATTAGTTACTGTTTCAAATATGGAGTGTATAAACCTAAAGCAATAGTAAAAAAAGGAAAAATCCTAGCACCCACGTAACAAATTTTCTCATCAGCGAATACAAGTTTTTCCTCATCAAAGCACGAGTTTGTAAGAATTTCCTCAAGATTGTTTTTCACTCGGCTGACATACAAATTATAACTGTGCTAACAAGTGGTCAACTGGACCCAACTGAAACTGCTTCTGAAGAAACAGCAGTAGATTTGCAAGTGGGAAACCATCTTCCCAGAGACACACACACGCAGAAAATTCAGTTTTCATTTAGCTTCAAGACCACTTAAGCATTAAACATACTGCACAAATCATTTAAAAAAAAAACACGGAGTAATGGCAAAGCACTCCACAGGTTAAACACTAAGTAGTACTGAAATAAATAGAGAATGGCAAAGCAGTCGACACGCTAAACATTAAGTATTACTGAAATAAATACAGAATGATACATTTTTAAGAAATGAAAGGCAACTGATCTCCTGAGGTTACTCTGGCAGAACGATACAATACAAAGGCAGATATACCGCGTGCTCACTAGAAAGGATTCCTTATCATTCAACTAAAAATGTGGACAGCTCAGACAAGTTCTTAATGTGAGGAAATAAATGCATTATGATTTTGCAAAGTCCCTGATCTACTATACCAGTCAATAGAAGCATTAATTCATTGGATAATAACAGTGTACATACAGTGAGATACACTGTAACTTTAAACTTTTGCAGTATCATTGGTTTTTTTTTGTCCCCCTTTTAAAGCAAAATTCTTAGTTTGCTCATTAGCTGTAGAATACTAGACAGATTCACTAGACAATATCTAACAATTTAATGTGAGCATAATTACAAACTCAAATCAGTACATGTCTCCTGTAGGTTTTCCTTTGATGGAGCAGCAACAGAGGCAAGAAATTCATCCACTTGCTTCAAAGACAGGGAGTTGTGAAGAGTTTCCAAAGGGCAAATAGAAGGCACCATGGAATATAGTTCAAAACCTGTAACAAAAACAATAATAAAAAAAGAGATTTCCAGACTTAGGACAGGATTTAAGCTATTGCATCAGCAAGAATTAATCCATGACAAAGCACATGCAGACATAGTACTGTTGAAATCATATTAAATATTACAGGAGTTGGAACAAGATGTGCCAATTTCCAGGATATACAAAACTCAGGGTACCATACAGCATATCATGGGATATAAAGCCCATGTGCAAGTCTGCAAACTTTACCGTTGTACTCTTCTAAATGAAAGATAATCTTCCTCTAAGACAGATGTAGTTAAAAAAAAAAAAAAGAAACAACAAACAGTCAGGTATAGCAGTATTTCTCCTACTCATTCACATTCCTCACAGAACAAGTAGGTGACTAATTCATGTAAGTGCAGTAAGACAGCTATGTCGTAAACAGTTAGCCAAAATAAGAACTACAAATGCTACCACTTCTTGGAAGAAATATATTTTCAGAATTCAAATTCTATCACCTTCATTATTCTGTGAAAACAAACTGTAGCCTTATGTATCAAAGGAAAACCACTATCTGCACTTTTCTGCCTTTTGTTAATGAGTTTTAACTTTGTAAGACAGTTTTACACCTACCTTTTGGCATTTTAAAACCTTACTTAAAATACCAGAAGTTTCATACACTGGTCCAGGTACGTATTTCCAAACCAAAATCTAAAAATTCTTTAGACTTTGTTTTTCTATATTAGTATAAGGCAACCATGTATATTCCTATTACTAACGTAAGGACAAGTACTTAAACACATCTTGGGAAAAAAACCCACCCTGCAGCTCTGTAAACTACTGCATACTTGGTAACTCAATGAACAGCTCTTCATTCAATTGCATTTCAAAAGCAGAAAATACATCCATTAGTATTTTCAACATACAGCTATAACGTTACAACTTTGAAATTAAATACTATAAATTTACAGTTGCTACACTTAAAAAGATATATTTAAATGAAGAAACAATAGTGAATGAAATAATGTTTAGAGTTTCAGTTCAAGGTACATTTATTAGCAATAGCGTTATGACTATGAACTGTTCCCTCCCCCCAGACAAATAAGCATCAATATTCCTCTGTTATCCAGTGTTTCCCATAAACTCATTCAGTGCTTTGCACAAAGAAGAAGAATTTCATCCTGAAAATGCCTATATTTATATTTGAATCCACCTTGGCCATAAAGCTGGAGGGACAGTCACTCCAAATATCTAATCAATCAATGCATACTTATGTTGGCTTCAAATAAAATTATGCATTTCATGGAAACTTTGTTTTCAAGTACAAAAGAAACACCTCCACATATTTTGTTTCTATTTTCATGTAAACACAACGACTTAAGTTTCAGTGTAAGCACCAAAATATGTTTCGCATACATGTTAATATCTTAAGTAACTACGCATGCATGCAAAGCGCAAACCCTTTCTTTGCATTACAGTAAGGTTAAGACTTCTCTCTTTACACTGAGAGAAAAATCACAGTCGTGCAATCATTTGAATGATTTTTTTTTTTTAATTTTGCAGTGAAAGCAGTGGGACAATGTCAGGCTAACTTTTTAATAATTATTACTGTGACAGTGCAGTGTTATAGAAAACCATAAATGAATTTCAAGTGCACTCACAGTCTACACAAAGAGAAAGAAAACCATTTTTCTTTCAGGAATTTGCCCCTTCATAACTTTTTATTCGGTTTTCACAATTCTGCTGATACCAGCATGTTGCTGCAATATCTTCACAGCTGATACGACTTAAAAAACATCTTGGAAATTTTTCTGCAGTGTTTTATTTGAATATTTTATAAATTATGAAACCTCTTTTTAATATAATTTTATGACAAACAAGTTTGAATTTTAAAGATAAAGAAGCCTGACAGTACCCCTTCAAAAAGCAATATCCTGTAAGCTGACAACTTTTGAGTTTTGTCTATGTTGACTCATAAAACATCATCCCCATCAAAATGCAAGACAATGAAAGGGTTACGCGGCATCTCAAAAAGCCACCCTGCTGCCTTACATTTAAAAGCTGTAGAGACATACCACTGGAGCCTAGAAATTCCACAGAGGAAATGGACCAGCACCTAAAGAGGTGTGGGTGTTCTGCACAGAGGCCCAGAAAATAAGGTAAAGCACTGTCAGAAGATACTTGTTTCACCATGTTCCTTGAACTAAAGATGGTGGGAGAGGGAGGAGTCTGATATGAGTTAAAGGGTGTGATAACAACATAAAAGTAAGAAAAAACAGAGTGAAAGGGACAAAGAGAATAAAAATGACAGTCCATAGGACAGACAAAACAACACCAATATGTCCTTACGTTAGTAGAGAACTCAGAAATCTGCAATGTATGCAGATGCTATAGGAGCTCATGGAGCATGCATTAGTCTTGTAAAAGATGTGTGAGAAAACATCTGTGTTAAATGAATCAGAACAATCAATGCATTCATTAAAAGAAATTTAGATCTATTTTTAAAGAATGCAGTCACAAAAAGAGAGCGCTAAATGGAACAGAAAGTAACCAATTATTAGATTGATATATTCAAATGCAGCCCTTTCTGACCCTGTATGTTTTGGAAATATTACTTGATTCTAAAGATAAATAATGGGTTCCTACTTTTCCTAGTATACCAGTTTTTCTTCAATAAGCACTGCAGTGTGAAAAAATTCCTATGTATTCCAAGTGAATATAGTAAAAGACCACCTTGCTTCTCAGCAAAGCAAAACAAAAATACTCTTTCTTTGTTTCTAAACAAATTCATTTTGAGTCTAACACAAAAATGCTGATGATTTCCACTGCAGTTTCAGTGATGTCATCATCACTGAGCTCAGCCAGTGGCCTCACCTATTTTAAAACTACAGTTAAGAAATCTGGAATAGCTACTTTAAGATCAGGTGGATACTGAAGACTGAGTTTGGTTTCTGTGAACAGGATATATTTTGGTCCTATTTAATCACGTATAAAGTTAGGCAGGAAATATTTTGCTGAGAAAGAGGAAGATATACCTCAGTCATACGTGTTATATGAGATCTTTTTTGCAAACATATTAGTCTGAAGACAATCTAACTCTTATCTTGAAGCTTGAAAGGTCAATGTAAGCAACAGGCAGTTCTCTTGCTGTGACTTTTTTAGTGCAAGATATAATAATTTGCACATCTGATGAGACACATGAAAAGGTAAAATAAACTTTTGTCTGACGATAAATACAGCGATTAAGCAGGAATGGAAATAAAATGTCTTCTTTATATTTTTAATTTAGCATCACTTCAAGAAGATAGTCATAAACTCGAGTTGTCATTTCAGTGATTTATTTTAGAATCAGGAGGCTGATTCTGCATCAGGGAAACAGCTCAGCAGAAGAAAGGTGAAGAAGAAGCAGCAGCAGCTATCAAGAAGCATATGCCCAATAAAGATCAGATTTATCTCTGTTTTTATCTTGCTCCATACAGTCTTGATTACATGAGAAATCAGGGACAATAATTTATTACAGAGATCATGATTAACAGCAGCACTTCAATTTTTTCAAGAATTTTTCTGAGGAATGAATTTTGATGTTATATTTTAACTAATGAATGGTAGAGAAGGGGAGTAGGATATCTAATGATTACAAATATATTTGGAATTGTGCTTGAAGTTAGGAATGACAGACGGCTGGATGATACTGTACACCCCATATTTGAAATAAAAATAAAAGGGATGAAGCGAGGAACCTTTTGTTTTTGTTTTTAAAATAAAAGCAAAACGTACCATTGGTTGGGTGTCGAGCAAATGAGATAGAAAACCTTTTAACAGCAGAACCGCGTGTGGTGTCTAAGAAAGAGAAAAACAGGTACCTGAAATTTGTAACAGCTACCAAAAGAGGGACATTTTAAAAAAGGAAAAGAAGAGGAAAGGAAAAAAAAAAAGATGAGAAGGTATTAGAACTGAGTGGCATGCAGAGGGGACCACGGAAAAGGACTAAAATCTAAATAGAGGTTAAAAAGAAGAAAATTTGGATTGCTGCTAACTACAAGATGTGTAATGAAGTGTATGAAAACAAGCAGAATGAGCTGGTGATTCTGGCATACAACGTTATATCAAGTTTGAGTTGAACATTGAGTAGTGAACAGAGAGGGGGAAACAGCATGAATACCTTCTCACCTCAGAGCTATAAAGGTGTCCTTTGGCACTTTTATGTTCTGAAATCTAGTGAAAAACTTCCTTCTCTACCCCAGATTATTAAAAACTGAAAACCTCCTGCTCTTTTGTAATCCAAACCCCACTGAAAAAAGAAGTCAGGAATCCTAAAATTTTCACCATCAGTATTTAAATTATCACTTTGTCATTTCTTTCATTTCTTGCTCCAGGTAATTTACTTCAAGATCAATAATTGATGATAAAACCTGACATTTAAAATGAGAAATTCAAAACTAAAATCTTAGTTTTCATAAAAAAAAAAAAGAAAAAAAGAAAAAAGCATTTGTTGAAGTTATCTGACACGTGTTACAATTTTGTGAGCTAATGCTCGAGACAGAAATTAAATATGCTGTTGTTACACATAAGCAAGGTATGGGCAATTACGAAAGAACAGAACCTCATATAACTAATACTAAGGCAAAGGATTCTAGGATTCCATTAGAGAAAGATTTATCTTTAGAAGTTTAATGTGGCACATGGGTTTGTGCGTGCATGTGCGAGAGTGTGCACATACCATCTACGAAGCCAGAAGAAGTCAGCTTTTTACGATGAGTACGAGCATAATCCTGTAGGTTAGGTGCACTTGAAGAACCCCCGAGCACTGAGGTGCTAAACAGGCCCGCACAGTGAGACCCTGATGGGAGTTAGAGAAAATACATACAACAACCAGGTGTTCGTCCATTCACATTGGGGATGCATGCAGCATGCAAGCACATGGCTCTTACCACACAAAAGGCAGCTTTTGGCAGTGCCTTGGACAGGTTCACAATATGCTTGTAATGTCAGAGGTACTTGTAGGCTGAAACTACCATAATTTATTGTGCTTCTACTCATGAGACAGCACTCTCTGCCATATTTGCAAAGAGAGGACTGAGTTTAACACAGTGACTTCTTATCCTGTTTTCACATTTGGTAAAGAAAAGTTACTAGTTAGCATTAATGTAAATATAACCAAAACAAAAAAAACAAAAGCAAGGTGATGATGTGAGTCTTGTGTGCTTTAAAACCTGCAGTTCTGAAACAAATATGAACTAGGAAAATACTTCTCATTGCTTTCATCCAAATCAGCTTTTGAGATGACAGGCTGCAATGAAATATGCACGCACTTCCACAGACATGGAAATATTTTCCCTTTAACTCAAACAAAAAGTATATCAAATTGGAAATACTCTGTTCACAGTCCATCTACCATCACTGACAAGGTCAGAAACTGAAAACGTCTAAGAGTTTCACAGTGTTAACTTGACTTCCTTTCCAGAGAAGACATTTGTACATCTCCACGCAAGTAACAGTCCACTGTTACTTGTTACAGTCCACTGTAACAGTCATACAATCCTGCCACTGGAATGGAAGTTTTGACAAATCACTGAAAGCCACATAGAGAAAAATAACTCTCATAATTCACTGTATCTGGAATTTACATAGGACATTGACTGAAATGGGAAAAAAAAAAAACCAAAAAAACCCCAAAAAAACCAGCTTTATTTTTTACTCAGTTCTTCACTATTAGTTGAAAGAAAGTGTTTTCACTCAGGACTCATCTTTTGAATTTTAGATAGGCTGCTTCTGAAGACCAACTATCTATCCAATAATACTTCCTTTTATTGCTTTTGATGATCCAAAAAAGGAAACATTACTAGCACATGTGACTAATCACAGCCAAAATAAATTGCCTGGTCTGTGGCAACAGCTTTCAACATCAAATGTAATACCTTGACCTATGCATAGAAATAAATCAACTTCCACAAGACATATTGTGTCATATTGGCAAAAGAAAGTTACTTAACTTTAGCAAGCACACAATAAAAAAATTACTTCCTTAAACAAGATGTATGCATTTTACTAATGGAAAAATATAGTAGAAAGGAAAATATCACAGAATAATTAAACATGCAAAAAAACCAAACCAAAACAAAACAAAAACCCCAAAACCAGATCTTTGCAAAGAATTAAAAAGCTACTTTCAGTTATGTATATATAGCTTATGCACTTTGTATACTTTATTTTTTTTTTCCATGAAAGGACACACAGAAAAAAAAAAAGAGAAAAAGATATAGTATTAATTTGCATCAGTGCAAGATCTCATGGTTTTATATTTCAGCAATATGAATGCCAGTTCCCAAGAAGTAACAGAAAAATACCATGTGAATTGAAAGAATTTGATACGATTGAAATATAGCATGATTCATTCTAACGCTGAAAAGAAGAAACTGATTTTAGGAGAGGGAAAATCAAAAACCCCAGTGGTTCACAATACTTGATGTTTCTTCTTTCCTCCTCGTCTTGCTAAAGCACCCTCAAGAAATGTGTTTTAAGTTTCCACTGTAGGTCACTTCTATTCAAAAGATTCTTGCTAAAACCTCAGTGTCAAATTACATCTAAAAAATCTACTTTATGTTAAAAATAATCCTGTTACCTCTTTCAGTCAGTAGCGCCAACAATTTGCTCTTTTCAGTAGTGGTTTACTTAGAGACTACTGTTGCAGAAAACTGTCCAGTTCAATAGGTAGACACTCAATACATTATTGATAGCAAAACACTACCAGGTCCTATTACACAGAAGTTTAAGAATGTAAACTGTGCAGAACAACAGGCAGATGAAAAACTGCTAACATAAAGAAAATTTCAATTGTATGTACATACCTAGACTGCTCTGCTTTTGTTCCAGAATAGTTCTTGGTGTTCGTAAGTTACTATTGCTTTCTGATAGGACCTGAATATAAAAAATACAAAACAACAGAAAAATAAGGGAAGGTAGAACAGCAGCATGAAATATCCATTTAATCTTGATACAGCAGCCTGTTTCATACAGACAAGTGTTAATAAGCTGTATGATAAGTGTTAGTAAAAATATGTAAAGGAAACATGAAAGATCATGCAATATCCCCTTCTGAAGGGAGTCCATTTCACATATGAGTTCCTTGCAATGGAGTGATACAAAGCAAGCATTCAGAATGAGAAGGGACACAGACCAAGACAGATATGAGAACAGACGTTTGAGACATTTTATTTTAGTTTTACCAAATTCACTCTCCTAAACTGCGCCTGTATTGAAAAAAGGAGGGGAGGGAAGGAAAGACAGACAGGCTATTGAGGACACCATACAATCACTGATCCATGCACGGGCTCAATCAGTGTAATCTTCAGATGCTCACAGCCTTTACTGATATAAACTTTTCCTATGCACATAGTTTTATAATCTTCCACAAAAGGGAAATTACAAAAAAATTCAAAGAAAAAGTGTATGATTAACAGAACACCATCCAGTGTCATACAGGTAAACAATATCTTGAAATACAAAGAATCTTGGATTTTCACTGTCATTTTAAAAAATTGCCTTTTTTTTTTCCAGCTGCCTCCCCCACATAATTAGAAAAATCTTCAAAATATTGTACAGGACAATGGATGATGTACTGCGTTGGGAGTTTTAGATACCTCCAGATACAGAACGCAAGAATTATTAGTGCTAGAGTTTGTTCCCTGCAATAGTTAATATCAGGCCACTGAAAATATGATAAATGCAAAACAAGTTTTGAACAGCAGTATGAAGTTCCAAATAAATTATTTTAAATGGTATTGGTTGCAATTATTAAAAAAAAAAAAAAAAAAAATTAAATTTCAATTTACCTACCACCAAATTAAGCAATGCCATTTTTAAAGTCTTAAAGGACAACTAAACCAAAGCAGAAATCTGTTTTATTAGGCAGTAGACTAATGTCTAGTGTCTTTTCTACTGGGGTAACATTTGCAATTCCTAAAAAGAAACCAATTTTTCAGGAAAGTGTATAACACATTCAGTGGAAAAACATGCACTTGCTCTTTTTCCCCCAAACATTCTCGGGAAGTAATTTTAAAAAGTGGAAGAATTTGCTTCAAATGTAATCCGTAACAAGGGATTAGATGTCCTTAAAGACAGTTGGTTGTTGCTTGGAATGCATAATAATGTTTAATGAAGTAAAGTTTAAAAACCTGTTGCCATGAGCCAAAAATACTGGATGTGAAAGCCAATGATTTGGGGGAGACAGGGGAAGAAGTGATTTGTTCCCCTGATCTGCGTCTTCGACGCCCAGTACCCACACCACTGGTGTAATGCAGCCAGGTACCAATACACTCTGGGCTAGACACACTCAGGGGGCTCTCTTCCTGGAAGTGAGAAAGGGGGCAAAAAACAGCAAAGCATGCAAAGTTAGATTCAACAGAGCCAAATGAACAGAAAAGAAAAAAAAAAAAAAACCAAAACCAGAAAAACCAGTCTGCTTGCACCTTTTTATGTAGTACTTCTTAAACTATTAAACAGAGAGTAGGGAAGAATTTTATTAAAATACTAGGAAGTTACCAGTTCCACTCAATCAACTATCTTTTAATACATCACTTTCATCATAGTTCTGGTAGATTACTTATTAAATGGCATGAGAGAAAAAAGAGTGGGCACCAGTAACTGGTAACCTTGACGTACTGTTTAAAAGTTTTTCTCATCTAAATACATCGAGCTTGCCTATTTAATTACGAGTTTTCATTTCTAGTTTATGTATAGTCTTATCTAATAGACCAATTTTTATAACTGCCTTTGAGACTTTCTAACTGGCTGGTAGGCAATACAGCCTGACTTTTAGCAGATTTCCAGTCCCAAATACCATCTAAACATTATCTGAAGCTAGACAGCTGTAAGACTTAAAGAGAAGACAGCATCAGGCTGAGTCCCACAAGCCCAAAAATAACACATATCATTAGTGAACAACAATTTTGGCAATTGAGATTTTGATCTCAAACACTGATGAGCCTTACTTTCTGATTTCAATCCTAGAACTCTTTTTTCATTATTCAATCACAGTTGAAATATTTTTAGGAATATGGCTGAATATGTCCCAGATTTAAACTTCCATCTAACACCTGACAGTGTCCTTTCAAATTAACGGATATAAAGGAAAAGAGAATTGCCTTAAAAAAAAAAAAAAAAAAAAAAAAAGTTCAAGGCAGTTGCAGTTTAAGGTTCAGTAAAATCACTTTTTTAAAACACTTGAAAAACACCATTTGGTATAAATATTCCAAATACTGGTTTTGCAGATTTCAGTGGGCCAGATCAAACTTTCAACTTCCTTATAAAAAAAAAACAAACAAAAAACCAACCCTCACAGTATACGTCTTCTTTGAATATTCCAGCTAATAGACAATCACTGAAAGCTGGAACATGTTCTATCCAGTATCCAGACATCTGTTACTCACACAGTCAAAATTTAGCAATTCATGTTATTGATATCTTTTGAAAGTAACTTCTATATTCACAAAAATCAAAAAGGTTAAAGGTTCGAAGTACATAGTCTAAAAAATTTTGTGTATATGAACTCATAACTAGGAGGGGAGCTTGCATGATCACACTGAAAACAGCATTTAAAAATCTAAAATACTGATGTTGTGAGCATTTGTTTATGATAAAACTCGGAAGTAGGAAATGTAAGACATTCACATTTATTATCTTTGTTAATTTATGAAAGTCACATGAAGTTATACAGATATCCTTACAGGAGGAAACCATGCACCTTTTTCTCTCTGTGCTACTAATAACCAACTAATAACTTGCAAATCTTACTTCTGTAATACTTGCAGCGCATACAAACAGTCCATTCCCAATACAAACATGAAAGGAAAAGGTTTTGGTGTGAATCTTAAGTTCTGATGGCTTTAAGCAACTAAAAATGAGGCAATAAGAAGCTGTTAGTCTGCTTCTAGCATTAAAGTCCCAGAAGTGCCGCTATGCACCAACTGAAGCTTTGCCACTCAATCGCGCAAGTGGTGTCAGTGACAATGCTATGCATTCCCCACCTCTGTGACATTAAAGCCATATCCGTGAAGCACACCTAGATGTCATGGCCTTCAAGGCAGGAGACTAGACTGTTCAAGCTGTTATCTAAAGAATTCATGAAATGCAAACCCCATCCATTAAAAACAACAACAATAACAAAAAAACCACTTACAGTTTATTCTCTTACCTTCAAATGCAAATGCTGCACAAGTGGAGTCACTTCCACTCCACATGAAAACAAATACAGCTGAAGACATTTTCTCTCTCCTCTCCTTCCTCCTCCCCCCCAACCCAAACCCCACCAATCCCTCTGTTCCCTCTCTGCAAGATCACCCTGAAGGTTTTCTCAATTCCCAGTACCAGATGTCTTGTAAGGATGAATACAAAAACAATACAAGTTAGTTTGAAGATGAAGACTTTTTCAACCTAAACACATCTTCAAATATGGATTTTTTTCTAATATGGCTTGAAAAGAAAAGAGGACATAAGTCTTTCATGGAAAAATAATCATTCATAAAAACAAAATCCTTCAGGCAAATTACTGCTATTGAGGAACACCATATTTAACATTACGTGTAACTGAAAACAGAATTACCCTTGTTATCAATTTGTTAAGAAAAACAGAAGTTAACTTCTGTGAAAGATATTCTCCAAAACATAAACACTTACTTCAACAGAACCAATCATCCTGGATCTCGGAAGGGGTGACTTTCTGTGTATATGAATTGGGTCTGATACCATTGGCTTGAACATCACTACTGACCGATCTGTTTCATCCCTTTTAGAAGTATGTGCCTCCTCATCACTATCATTTCTATGTGAGGTTTTCTTCGAGCCTTCATTCTATAAACAATACATAATTCTTTCCAATTTAGCTGCACACCTTGTATCATGTAGACAGAAGTGGTTACTAAATTAACCTTCTAGAAAAACACAACACAAGCTGATTTTAAAGATGCAAATAAATCACATATTACCGCACAACTAGTTATAAAATAAATATTGTTATAGACTTTAATAACCCATGTATATTTGCTCCTAACTAACCACTGTCTGTACAGTGGGTTTCTAATTAGTCAAACCATTCAGCCAACATATCCCACTTCAATTTTCTGTTTCCACGGTGGTCAAATTCTAGCCCTGTAAGTCAATATTTGAATTCCCGCCTTGCTTTCATTCAGTTCTCAGAAATCATGTGGTAAGTCCACACACCTATACATACAACCTCGAAAATATTAAGCACTCCCCAATAATCTGTATTTATAAGCACGCTAAACTACCTTATTTTCTTGAATGTTTCTTTCAGTTGCCAGAATATCATTGATCTGACACTAGCATTGCTACCACCTTTCTTATAGAGTACTTTGTATTCCTAGTTCAGACTGGCAAAGCCACAGGAGGCTTAAATTATCTGTGTCCATTTAAAGTGGACCAAAAAGAAAATCACACTTGTATTTTTAACCTAAAAATTTCCACTATTTGTTTTCTGCATTCAGAAAATCTAACTTTTGCTTGAAATAAAGGCCTAATTATTACCTCTCGGGAGGCAGGTCTGTATCCATATCCAGATGGTAAATTTTTATCTTCCTCACAGCCTTTGGCTCCTGGACTAAAGTGCAGCTCTACATGAAAACGTTCTTCCGAAGAAAGTTCCTGAAGAAAATGATAAATAGGTTTACACTTTAATATGTAGGCTTAGCACTACTCATTTCTGAAGGCATTCATACATTTCAAATACCTTATTTGGATCCTCATAGAGCATGATAACAATCTGTGTCATGTAATTGAGTTCATTGACAACATTTAAGTAATCCATAGCTCGTTTCCACTGTTCATCTTTTGTTTCCTTATGAACAGAAAAAAATATTAGAATCTTGACAAATCAAAGCCAGCAATTTTCTTTAGAAAGACTGATGATTTCCATTTTCACCCCTTTAGATGGTTTTTATATTAACAGCAGAAGTATGAAGCTTTACTACAGCTAATGAAAAACTAGAGATACATCTAGAAAAAAGTGAAGTAAAAATATGCATAAAATGAATAAAAAGTAGATTTATCTCAGAGTACCTTTCTGGCTATTTTGTTAATAATGTTGAATGCTTTGTAAACAGAAGTACCATTGACATTTTTCTGGTTGGAGTTTTTGATTTTGCAATAAAATCCCCTTCAAATAGTGTGGGCATATTGTAGGAAATATTTCTAGGTATATCTCTCTGGCAGTTAAGCAGATAGAGAAGGCTTCCAAAATACAAAAGAAAAATAATCATCTCATTCTGAATTATTTAATATGAATATTCATCTTTTTCATGTTCTAAAAACATGTTCATGAATAATGAAGAACTGCTACACTTAGTAATTTATTTTAAAGGAAACTAAAAAGTTTATAAGCTTAAAAGTACATGTGTATCCCCTACGGCACACCACAGGGGTTTATGAGTTTAACCAATGAGTTTACTAATCTGTTACCAGCAGAAAGTATGCCAATACAGCCACTACAAAAAATAGATTTAAATTTACATCAAACTTAGAATCAGTTGTATAGGCCCTGTGGTGCTACATTTGTCCTCTCCATGAGCTTATCTGGGCAACTGGTGAACCTGAAAGTTGGGTTTTTTTTTATTTTATTTATTTATTTATTTTAAAAGGCTTTGGTTTCCAAACCAATCAGATGGAAAATAAAGCATATCCTTTAAAATACTATGCAACAGTGGCAGGCAGAAAGGTCTTGAAAATATGACAATCACAAAAACAAGCCAATCCAAAAAATGAATTCAGAGACATCTGAACTGCAATTTGAAGGAAAAAGAGTTGGAAAGGTGACAACAGAAGACAAAGAAATGAGTTATCTGTCCTTTGCAAACCCTTTTGAGACCACAGTATCAGCTGTATAACTGAATAAGCCAGTGCAACCCAGCACTAATTTAAAAGAGCGTGTTCTTTTCCAACAAATTATCACATTAGGAGTCAGTATATATGCAGGGCCATATTTCAAAGAAATCCAATGTTTCAAAAAGTGTAATAATCTTCAAAGACACTTGGAAAAATTAAGCTTTCACATAATACAGTTTTAGTAAAAGCAGGTTATTTTGTTTTTTTCTTAAAATATCACAGAAAAATATCACAGTTTTCACAGAAAAAGTGTTCAACTTACATCACATAAGGCACCATAACGAAGGGTGGATAGCAGGGAATGAACATGACTTTCGCTGGTGAAATACAGTCGTGTACGAACATGGCGTTCAGGGGACATAACACCCCTGGAGTAACTTAAAAGAAAAAAAAAAGTCTTATTAGACCATAATGACATGTGGCTGTTCTAGAATTAGCCATCAACTAATTAATGAATCATATATTTTAAATTACTCTGAAGCAGTAAGATATTTCAAGTACAGAAGGTACGGAGTAAGTCTTATAAGGATTAACATAATCATATAAAATATTAGAAGACTTACAGAGGGTGAAGCTTATTTACAGTATCATCATCTTGAGTTCTCTGAAGGTCAGAACGGATTTTTCTAACTAGAGGAGTGCAATAACCTTTGGCAATCTCTAGTTTCTCAGCCTTAGAAATACCATATTCCTATATTAGGGAAAAAAAAGTCTTAAAATCCAGTTCAAGATTAACATACATTCTAAGACAAGGCTTGTATAATAAAATCACAGAATCACTGAATTATGGGGTTGGATGGGATCTCTGGAGATCATCTAGTCTAACCTCCTGCTAAAAGCAGGTTTCCTTGCACAGTAAAGTGCCACTGAGTTTTGATTATCTCCAGAGGAAGACTCCACGACCTCTATGGGCAGCCTGTTCCAGTGCTCTGTCACCCTCATAATAAAGAGGTTTTTCTTCATTTTCAGATGGAATATCAGTCTGTGTCCACATTTTGTCCATTGCACCTTGCCCTGTTGTTGGGCACCACTGTGAAGAGCCTAGCTCCATCCACTCAACATCTGCACTTTAAATATTTATAAACAGCAAAGAGATTCCCTCTGAGACTTCTCCAAGTTGAACAGCCCTCTCAGCCTCTTCTCAGAAGGGAGATGCTCCAGACCCTTAATCATCTTTGTGGCCCTCCTCTGGACATTTTTTTTTTTTTTTTAAAGAAGTTCCCTTCTTTCTTGGACTGAAGAGACCAGGACAAGATGCAGTACTTCAGATATGGCTTCACTAAGGCAGATCAGAGGGTGAAGATCACCTCCCTCAAGCTGTCAGCCACACTCTTTTTAATCCACCTCAGAATACCATTAGCCTTCTTGGCCACAAGGGCATCAGCCAGTTGTCCAGCAGCACCTCCAGATGCTTCTCTGCAGATCTCCTTGCTAGCAGGTCAGCCTCTAACCAGTATGCAGTTATTCAGTTAGCTACCTACTATTGTTCTGATTGCAAACAGTTAAACAATTCTGTTTAATATCTTTATTACATCTGACCCACTTTTAAGTTAGAAGAGGTTTTCCTTTCTCCTATTTGAGATAAAACAGAGAAACACTTCTTCATCCACAAAAGTGGATTTCCTGCCTGGTATGATCAAAAAAAGATTATTCTTTCTCCCATACAGATTTAGACAGGTATGGTGGGTTTCATTTCAATTAGCTATTTTTTTCCCAGTTAGTGAAGACAGGCACATTACTTATTTGATGTCTACTTTAGTCTGAGTTAACATACCCCACAGAGGATCTCCTATTCACCTCAAATAGCACTAAAATGGCAGTTAAACACAACTGGAACATACAGTATCTGTTACGGTTTTTACAATGGTAAAAAACAACATATTTGAGAAGCTTCTCAGTCTGTGCCACAAATGGTATGAAAGTGCTTGCATCATTTTCATGGATCTTTTGGTTTCACCAGAAAGCAGTGTAAGCGCTTTTCCATAAGAATTATGCATGTTTACAAGCTTTCTTTTATTTTCTTCCTTCCTTTTATTTTTATTTACTCTTCCCTCATACTCTATTCAAACTTAAGCTTAGCAGACCCACATAATACACACAGTACACTTAGAATTATTGCTCTTTTCATCCTCCCTGCTGCCAGACAGTTTGAGAAATGGGCATGAAAAGAAGCTCCCTCACTTGCTGCAGAAAATGAGTAATACCTCCCTGTTACAGCACTATATAATTTCAAGGACACTTCTGGACAGCTTTTGCATGTTCTGTCCTACACTACAATACAATTTCATTTCCTGTAGTCTACAGCATTTAGCACTAATCTGAATTTAACAGACTGCAGTACTGAGAAGTTTAACTAGTACATCTGTCCTTCAATTCTGTGAAATTTAAAGTGTACATTTTTATCAGGGAGTGATAGTATTTTGAAGTAGCAGAAAGGTCTTTCTAAATGTAACTTGTTTAAGTAAATTAAAATTAGATAGAATAGGATTCAATGTCAGTTGCAGAAAGCCCAGAAAATAAAAATTGTGCAGAAAACAAAGTTGTGAAAAGAGCAAGAATTAAATTAAATGTGATTTAAGAGTACATAGTTGTCCACACGGGCTCTGCTTACATCCATGAAGAATGTTTGAGATGAACCACATCACTTTAATAAACTGTAGAAGAGGAGGCAGACATGTTCACAGCTTAAGTTGCCGGAAGAAATCACTCTTACCACATTTCAGTGAATTATGAATCAAAATTTTTCTTACACAAAATAATCTTATTGTGATCAGAAAATAAAAGGTGAAGTTATAGGGGCTTTTAATAGAAAAGTCCTACATCTTACAGTCTGTTAAAAGATGATAAAGTATTCTATTTCATAACTGAAAATGTTTACCTGAGGAATCACAATGTCAGCTAAAGCTTTTGAAAGTCTGTATAATTCCATTGTGTTTTCTAATTTTAAGGAGCCATTGTGCTGCACATCGTATTTTATACAGTCGTAAATATCAGGAATTTTGCTAATATCATATCTTCCATTCTTTGTTTTAAAGTCTTTTTCCAGCTTGGCCCACCTGCGCAGCATCAGTTCTAGTGTTTCACTGTGGTACAGCTGAATATCTGGATAAACAGTAAGTAATCAGGAGTATCCAAATAACAGAAAAAAGGTTAATTACATGATAATAATAATTGAAAACAATTGTATATTTAAAGGAGTAAAAGTAAATAACTATACTATTTCTGAGAGAACAGATGTGCATATGGTTAATTTTACTGTTGAAATCATCTAGATACATCAAGACAGCAGATGGTTCCCTGTAGTACTGTACCACTTGCCTTTAATAAAAGCTACAACACAAAGAATAAAGTGTCCTACAGAACATATGATAATTAAAATAATAATTATTAAAAAAAAAGATTAAAATAAAACCACACTATTAGAAAATTCCAAGAGAGAGGAAGAGGAAGAAGACAACATCTCTTTTTCAGAGCAGAACACAAATCCAATTTATTGCTCTCTTCAACAATAAAAGTCTGGCAGAAAGAATGGACTATCCTCATTAGCAGGACAGAAGACTGGATCAAACAGACAAAAACGAATGATACTGTCTACAGGTGATATAATTTCAGGGTTCAACCTCAGAAGAGTAGTTGTTTGTATGCAATGCACTGCAAAGAATACCAGATAACAAATATTCAAATATTTAGCTTAAAGCAGAAAATGCAATGTGGTTGCTCCCAGCTTCAGTTTTCCTTTTTCACTGGTTCAATACCATTAAAACTGAGCATAATTCTATGCAGTAATTCTGTGCATTATCTGCAGAGAGTAGCAAATCTTAAGCAAAGATATTTAAATGTAAAAGCATACCTGTAAAACTTAGCTTTCTTACCATCTGCTTTGCCTATTTCTTCTGTGGACTGCTGAGTTACAAATTTTTATGTAAAGAATTTCTGTAAAAATGTGACAACTAGCCTGAACTTCTGAATACCACAAAGAGTTCTTACCTGCAATATGACCAAGTGTTCCTCCTGCTTTTTACTGTAAAATTATGCATATTGAAACAGATTGTAAAAATCCATATGCCATAGCTGAAAAGTTCTGCTAAAAGCCACTGTACTGCAGAAGGGTTATATTGCAGTTTTCTCTCAAATGCAAACAAGAGAAACTACATACAGCTACAAAAAACTGTTCAAATACCTGCAGACTTTGGTTCTTCCATTTTTTGCCTAATCTGAGAAGTCAAGCTCTGGATCAAGGAGTAGACTTTGTCACATGTCTTAACAGGATTTTTAATAACCTGCATTGATTTTATCAATGAGATGCTTCCAGATGGTGTAAGCTGCAATTTGAGATAAACACACACTGATTAGATTAAAAAAAAACAAACTCTGGAAATAAGATGGAAAGTACTAAAGATTCTAAGTATCAGGTGAAATACACTGATGCAGGTTGTTAATTTTTGAAACCATTTTTCAATCACCTACTCCTTTAAAGAAACTAAGAATCAAAAATATATTGAAAAGTTCTAAGTTTTGCTAGAGATTCAAAGATGTCAAGAAATTATGAGTACTCTCATACAGTAAACAAGAGCAGCTTCAAGAGTTCCTAAAACTCCACTTTGTTCTAAGATGTACAAAATTATAAGAAAATTCTAAGGATTCTTCTGATTCTGTATATACTTATCAACTTTCTGTAACTTTTGTTCAACTAATAAGATTTATAAGAAAGTACAGTTAACCTATGTAACTCAATAAAAGCCACATTGTTCTATGCAGTACCTTTATTAGCCTGAGTAGAAGGAAGAATAAAACACCTGGAAAAAAAGCTGATTCCTCCTGGTTTAGTTTTCTGTTTGGATAGGACATACCCCCACAAACACAGAAAAAAATAAACTCTTTTAAGCACAAAGGTATCTCAAAATCTTCTTCACAGCAGCTCCTACCTCCCTGTTATATCCATAGGAATAATACCCTGGCATGGAGAGAGCAAAATATAACAAAATAGCAAAAGCAAATTGTTAACTTACCTGCAATCAGGTAAGTTAAAAAGAAAGAAAATAAGAAAAATACAGAAAAGATATTATCGCTTTATAAATTCAAGCATTAGTCACTATCTTAAAGGAGAACACACTATAGTTTCAGTCTTCTTTTACATCCCACTATATATACAGAGCAAAAAATGGGAAAATAAAACAAATATTTGAAACCCTGTACCCTCTCACTTTTTCCATGTACTGCAAAATCCACTGCTGGCAATGATTTGACGGATTCTTTTAATCTACACACTTAAATAAGTCCACAAAGAGCATACATACAGCTAGTACAATTATTTTTCAATAATTTGCTCTCAACGCATTTTAGAAAATATCAGCTAAAACTCACAGAGACCACATTTGAGGTACCTTCATTTAAACTAGAAATAATCATGCAGATCATACCATGTCAACATTAACTACTTCATTATGCATTAGGTTATTATGATAATGAGACATTTCCTTTCACTGGTAAGGAATTATTCTACTGATTTTCTACCTTTTTTTTGCTTTTATAGTCAGAAAAAAAGCCTTGTAGGATAGCAGCACCTTGTAGGATACAGTATCACAAACTTATTAAAAAGGTCAAAGTGAAGACTAAAAAAAAAGTCTAAAAACACAGTTTTATATCTTGAATAATTCAAAAAAAGCCAGTGAAAAAGATTTACTAATATGGTCCCTACCACCGATTATATTCCTACTTTGAAGTTTCTAACCATAACCATTCTGATTAGTCAAATTTCAATAGCTCAGAATATCTAATACCACAATAGCTACAGCTTCCTTCTCAGACCAAACTATTTGCAAACACATACATGGTTTTTCAGAGGACATACATAAAACAACTGCTCATTATTTTAATGTAAGTATTTACTTCTCCATTTATTTCATTTAACTGAAAACTACTTATGTTCTAACCTTATCGTAGTCATCAGCAGTAAATTCTCTGTCTCTCTGGAGAATTTCATGGAGCCTTGCTTTAACACGATGCTGACAGCTGCTTAAAGAATCACTGTCACTGTCCAATAGACCATTCATATTAGCACTTTTTACCATCTGGACAAGAATAGGAGTCAGCTCGCCCTCTAAGGCCAGTAGTCCCTGAAGCAGATAATGTAATTAATCAAACAAACATGCGATAATAACAGTACCTTAAAAATAAAAAATAAAAAACACTCAAAAAACTAATTTAAACTCAAAATTATATTAGTTGCCTATAGCTTAGATATACAGGGAATTAGCCATTAGGACAAGGGCAAATGGTTTGTTAGGACAAGGGGGAATGGTTTTAAACTAAAGAAGGGAGATTTAGATTAGAACAGAGGAAGTTCTTTATTGAGAGTGTGGTGAAATGCTGGAACAGGTTGCCCAGAGCAGCTGTGGATGCCTTGTCCCTGAAGGTGTTTAAGGCCAGGTTGGATGGGGCCCTGGGCAATCTGATCTACTGCTTGATCTAGCAGTTGGCAACCCTGCTTTGGCAGAAAGGTTGGAGCCTGATGAGCTTTAAGATCCCTTTCAACTCAAGATGTTCTGTGATTCCGTTCAAGATTCTATGAAAGCACTGCCTTGGTGTGTAGGATTGCTTCAGTTGGTGCAACAGTGATGGTGATGTGCCCTTAGAGTGTGATCCCCAGCGTGAGCTCCATTGTGAGCTCCAAGAGTGCTTCTGGGAGGCCATGGCTGTCCAGGTCTCAGTTAAAAGGGAGTGCACGGTGCAACAGCAACCCAATTTGTGGGCAACATGCCCTGGTCCAAAGAACCAGATGAAGGAGCTATAGAAAGAGACTGAGTATGATCTGGGAAGACAGAGGACACACACAAAGCCTTTGCAGAGGCGCCCTGTGTGGCGTAGAAGGACAATGAAATTCTATAGCTGAACAAAAGGTGGATGGAGACTTTCAAAGTAAACTTTTGTGACTCCTCTGGCAACAGAAGGGTACTGAGGTAAGTACAGAAATGGACTGGTGTTCCCCTCAAGTCCGCTGATTGAGGAGAAAGCAGGACAGATAGCTGTCCACATGAAATACCTGTGCACCAGCACAAACAGCATGGAAACAAAAAGGGGAACAGAAATTCTGAACACTGCAAAGGTTTAATTTTACGAAGATCACAGAGACAGGCGGAATAGTTCACATGAGGGGAGCTTTGCTACAATTACAGGAAGGCATGGAGGAAGAGCTGGATTCTATATAAAGAAGTGACTTGACCACTGAGATTTTTGCTTTCAAACCAGTTATAAGTCAGTTCAGAAAGAACAGATAAACGGTAATATCAAGGCAGGCCTCTGCTACAGACCACCCAACTAAAGCTAAGAATGTCTCCTGATTTCATACCTTTTTTAATACTTAATTCTGGATACCTAATGCATGAGCAATATTGCATGTGACAAGAATCCCAGATGTCTGAAGAACATCCAGGACAATTCCATGGCAAAGGATACTGATTAACTATCTAGCTGAGACATTTTCCTGGAGCTGTTTCTCAGAAAGTCAGGAAAGTGAAGGTCAGCGGCAGCCTTGGCAATAGAAACCATGATATTGTGACAAATTCTTAGAGAAGACAACAAATAATTGTATCAGGGCCTCTGCAAATGATTATATTTAAGCTTTTCATGCAAATCCTGGGGAAGAGTGTCCCAAAGGGCAAAGGTGCACAGAAAAGCTGTCCCTTAAAATCCTCAAAATACAAAAGCAGTCCAACCTGAGATATGGAAAGTCATGTAGAAAGTCAGCATGGATTAAAAAGGAATACAGGCAGGGACAGGCTACCTAGAAGAAATAGAGAAACTACCTGAGAATGAAGGATGTAATTAAAAACTTGAGAGGCTGTGGAATCTTCATTCCTGTAGATGCTCAGAACTTGACTGGATACAGTTGAAGGCTACCTCATTCAGGCTAGCCTTGTGCTGTCTGAAGCTGAACTACATGACCTACAGAGGCTCCCTCTCACCTAACTCACTCTTATCACTCTGTATTTATGAAAATCATTCACAGTAGCACTTTCTCTGAGTTCTCTCGAATGATTCAAGATTTGTATCACTGCAAGAAGGAAGCAAAATTATTAATAATGGAAGTATTATACATGAAAAAAGCTACTTGGGAAGAGGAGCAAAAAAGGAATTTGCCTAGTATGAAGAGGGGTAAAAGAACACTTTTACAAACTCTGGAGAGGTAGGAAATTCTGAGCTTAAAAATTAAAAAGTATCCTTTTACATAAATTATTTCAACTGGTAGAAACAAACACACACATACAAAAACAACAATAACAAAACCCAAATCAAATTAATCTTTAGTTTCAACAATTTCTCATTTAAATATTTTCAAAGTAGTTTATTAATTCCATATTTCTGATAGCTTCAAAAGCTTTCTCTGTAGGGTTATTAGCCAATAAGAGAAAGATGGTTTCTATGAAAAAACCCAGATCTTCTGGTTCAGTGCACTGAATCAATTGAAAATTTTTTGCTCAGGGAAAATTAATGTATTAACTCAGTTATAATGTCTTAGTTCTTACCCATCACACATACAATTTGTCAAAGAAATCTGACAAATTTCCTGAATATTTCAGAAAGTAAGCCCTAAAGAAATAAGAAAGATGCAAACAAAAAATGTTTCTCTGTTTCGTTTTTTGTTTACTGCAAAAGAATTATGGCATAGTACTATGACTGTGCAATGAAAACCCGACTGCAATGGCTCAAAGAACTTCAAAGCATGGCACATTAACTGGAAACTTTCCTGCATATTACTAAATAATCTTTCAGAATACTTTTTTAAAAAAACAAACAAAAAAAAACCAAACACATAGCCTCTGTGTTTATAATAATAAGTCTCCATACATTTTTAGAAGTAATAAGCTAGAAAATTTCAGAATTTTATAATTGACACAGTACCTTTTATGATTGACACAGTACCTTTGCAAAAGCTGCTGCAGTCATCTGAACTCTTCCCTCATCAGAAGCATAGATTTTGAGATCGTGTCGGTAAGTGCTATGTAATCTAAGTAAACCACAGCCAGGAAATCCAGCATAATCTCCTAACAAACAGACATTTTTCTCAGATTCTCATTTTGCACTTTATTATCTTCAAAAGGGATTTATGCCATTCAGCACATTTTTTATTTTTTTTGTTTTTATTTTTTTACCTTGTCCACCTGGATACATACACCTGAATGCCCTTCCAAGCTCCTCTGCTTGAACCCTGCCTGCAGGGGTCAGTTCTCCTCCCCATTTTAGAACCAGTAGGAGGGATGGTTCATTTCTTCTGTTATCTAATTAAACACACAGAGAGGAGTTTAGTAGAGAAGTATATTGTAAATTTTTTTTTGCACATAAACAAAAATACTGGAACTATGAAGGCTAGTAAAGAGCCTCTTTAACAATAGGAATCCTTACTAGCTTTCTAACACTAAGAAGATACTGAACCACAGAACTAAAATGGCACTTAACAGAGAAACCTGAAATAATCGCATTACATAGAAAAAATAAATGAAAAATACTGAGTAAGAAACCTAAAACAAATACTGAGTCAAAAAAGATTTTAAATACTCCAGCTTGCTTATTTCAGTTAATGACTGTGGAACAACGATCAGAAGGAGCTCAAAAAATTTTAAAGACAGCAGTAAATAATAAGCAGGATTTTCTCATCTTTCTCCCAGTACTCCATCTGTGGTGAATAACTGAAGCACCTTCCCCGTTTTCCGTTACAAACAAAAACAGTGTTGTAATGTAAATTTACTACATAATTTTAGGTGTATGATTCAGTAGGGTTAGAGACTGCTGAGTGTTTGCCATCAGCACAAACATTCATTCAAATCAACATACTGCTTCTTCTTAATATCAAGACATTATACCACTAGTATATGTAAATGCATATGCTCTTAAGTGAATATACACTAAAGTAATACTACACCTTCCTCTTCACTGGAAGTCTTTGGGCAGCCATGAGGAAGATACGTTAATTGAACTTTGCGGTTTATGCCTGAAAAATGCCCATACCTGAAGAAGAAACAGGGTGAAATGAGAAAGGAAATGAGAAAAAAAAACTATTCTCCTGTACAAACTCAAAGCTGCTGTGCTCTTGAAACAGTAATAAATCTACACGGGCCATTCATTTGAGCATTTGACCACCATTTCGCAGTGCAATCTTAAATTAAGCCTTATTCATGAAGCACATGAAACTACATACCTAATAAACCTTACATGATGAAACATTTCCAAATGTTATCATACACTACTTATTTTCAGCATACCAAGTATAGAAGTGAAAATAAAACTGCCTATGCATTTGCAGACTGCATGAGCAATTTACAACTATGTTAGCCATAAGTACACAGAATCTGATCTGGCAGTGTGTATGGCCACTCACCAGCCAGAAAAGTTCTCAAGTAAAACTCAGTATTTTAAGTAATCTTCATAAATTACAAGAATAATTAATTCTATTTGTCCCGATTTCTAAAAGTTAAAGTTATCTTCCACTGTGTCTTGAGACCCCAGAATATTAACAAACCTTGAAGCCTTTATTTCCTTCTATTAAATACTTCAGGCTTCATATGCAAAGCTTTATTTTTTGGAATCCTCAGTTTGTACACTTTGTTGAAGACAGTGAAAGTCTTAGAGCCTACAGGCTCCAAGAAACTTCATTACACCACACACAGCTAAGAGGCAAACCCTACACTCAAGTACTCAAGCATGCAAAAAAACAAACCAAAACAAAAAACATAACCTCTTTCAAGTAGAAAGCACACTGAGATACGTGATGGATTGAACAGTAAGTTCCATTAAAAAGATAATGAGAAAACACAGAGAGGGCTCAGTCTCCTTCAAAAAGTCAAACAGGACATCCTTTCTTGTTCTCTGAAGACCCATGAACATTACATAGTTGATAATCATTGCTGCTGAGTTGTAACTGGTCAAACAGGTCAAAATAACAGATATGTCTTTGTTGCTATGAAGACTGCAAATACATACTTACATTTCTAACACAGTCTTTAACTGTTCAAGTTTTGCTTTACTTTCCTCAATTTCAGAATCATTGTTCTGCCCAAGTTCCACAAGGAGTTGCCTTGCTATATCAAGCACTTCCTAAAGAAAGCAAACAAAGGACTAATTTAAGACAGATTATTTTCTATTTGTCATAAAACACTAGAGCAAGAAAATAGAGACAAACTTGCCTGCAGCTGTTTTGGTTTTTTCAGTTTTAGTTTTCCAGATTTATATCCATCACATTTTTCAAAGAGATCAAAAAATCTTTAGGAGAAAGAACATACATAAGCATTTAATAACCTAAAATATTTGTCAAACACATAGCTTTTAAACCTTAAATGGCCTGAGATTAGTAGCTTCGCATTATTTGAAAAGCATATTCAAATTTGAACAGCTCAAGTGATCTTTTATTCAAATCTCATTTCTCAAGAAAGTCCTCAATACTTCAGAGAAATTTGAGAAAGAGAAATTTTTGTTGTACAAAAAGACATTCTCTTACTGAGTTGCTAAGTGTTAAATACAAAAAGGAAAGAATATACAGCAGTGATTCACCTTAACATTCAAGAACAATCCTCAACAGAATTAAGATAAACACACACACACACGCACTCATATGTACATTTAAAGCAGATGTATGTGAATATACGAGATAAAGACATTGCATCTAATTCCAGACACTTTGTATCTGGTATCTACCAGAAATACACAGTAATCAAACTGACAAAATTAAGAGACAAAAAAGCACTGCAGCAAGAAAGCAAGTCACACAAAAAACAAACAATAAAAACAAAGTCAGAAGTCAAAGTCAAACGGTGAACCAGAAATATTCTCTATTGATTACTCACAAAGAAATGTATGGAAACAAATATATTTTCATTAACATTAAAATCAAACAAGACTGTTTACAAAGCAATGCAATGAAGGAGGTCTGAAAACCTAATCTGACAGTCCTCTTATAAAGAGGTTCATGCTTCTTTATTAGGTGGAAAGACAACAGCTACAGAAAAAATAGAACAAAGAATATCTTATACGATGGACTTCCTGCTTAATTCATTGCTTGCATATCCCCAAGAAACGCGCTTTTATCGAAGTTCAACTTACTTTTGATGTTTTACTTCCATTTTCATTTTTTGTTTTGGTGTTCGGTCTCCATGACGTATTACAGCTATAACACATCTAAGCTCCATCCTGAAATGTTTCACAATTTTATAAATGAAATTTTATTATTAAAACCACTAAGAATCAGAACTATTGACAAAGTTGTCACTATCTGACATAACTACAAAAGTGAAAGAAGGATATGCAAGAATATAAGGTTAACTGAAAGTGATGTGAAGTATAAAATACACATATTGATTTTAAGACTTGAGTAACTACTTGTGTAATATTTTAAAATGATTTTGAAGTTCATTAAATGAGAGAGCATGTTTATTAGAAGTGCATATTAAGCTGGTGCTGGAAAAATGATTAGCAGTGAAGGAAGCTATGCACAGAAGGATGCTACACTTGAAAATCTGCTGTTCTATACTCAGCTTGACTAAGGATCAGAAATTCTGATTGCTGGCATAGCAATTGTGATTCCTTCCTTGTTTTCATCAAAATGGGTACACCTTGTGAAGAGAAAAAACAATGCACACAAGAGTTATGTTAGGATTTTCCACAATTCAGGTGTTGCTACTATTCTCTTACATTGTCCCAGAGGTGGTTGGCACGATAGGGATGTCTTCAGCTTCCAATGGAATTGACCATGGTATCTGAAACTGGGGAGCAAGTTCTCTCATTATGATATTTCTACAGAAAAATTAAAAAGGAAAAAAAAAAAAGTTTAGAGAAGATCTTACAAAACACACATGCACTCCATAACAAACATATTTATACATTTGCATTTTTATCTATGTAGTTTTAGAGTACTTATCACAGTATCTCTCTCCTAAAGGGAAAAATAAGTGCTTTTTTTCTAACTGTACACACAAAAATGTAATTACAGAATAATGTAAAGCTACTGAAATTGCAACAGAGCTAACAGTAGCCTAACAGCACAGGATATTTAAGAAACTTCAGTCTTTGAATTCCAGTTCCTAAAATTGTTCCATGGAAACAGGTTGGTCTAGTTTATTTAAATATTCAGATATCTGACTCCATTATCAAACTGAAAATCCCTGAAAATCAGCAAGCCGTGCTAATCAAAGAGTAACTGGTAGCCTTAGTGATAATATCAATTCTCAAAAAGTTTGTTGGTAAAACTGGAAAAAATGTGAATAACCTAACTAAATAATGATAACTCTGCTTTCGCATACAGGAGTTTATTATATATTGCTAATGTTCTATTTCCGAGTATTTTATCAAAATATATTGAATTCAAATTCATATCTACATTAAAAAACAGTAGCATCAAGAAAAAATGTACATCTTGAATTAGAACTACTCAAGATTTCATTTATAAAAAGGTAGAAAAGTAAAATCTACTTTTTTGTATTACATGTACTGTACTATACTATATGTAAACATGAGGAAAAAATGGTAGGAAAACTTTTTTTTTAAGAGAATTCAACATCAACAGCAGCTTAAATAATTGAGAACTCAGAATTCTAACTCTTAACTCAAAAAATGGCCTAAAACAAGAGGACTGCAATCGTTAACTATGATTTTACCTTATCTCTTCCTCAATTTAGGGATGATGTCAGACCATTTGATAACGAGAAAGGTCATTCTCTATCTTATCAGTGCAATCTCCCTGTAATAGCAATTTAGCTGGCCAAAGTAGGATCAGTCCTATTTGAGGATTGCATTTCACTGTTATAAAGTTCAGTACAATTCTGCTTGATCTACTGTTCTGCCTCCTCCTGCTTTCAGTACAACAAAGGAAACATAGTATGATAAATACTACATCCACTTGGATATAAGAGTATGAAATACATACATACACACCAGCTTCAGATCAAGGAAAAAACAAATCAATTTGGGCACATACTAAATAGCAGCATGCACAATTATGCAGTGGTACTTCTCTACTTGAAAAAAATCTCAACTACCTTTAAAAAACTAATCCTGTCATGGTACTTAGTTAGCTTTCAGCACCTGCAGAACACTCAGATGTTTTAGATGATTTATGATTTATTTACAGTTCTTAGTTCTTCAGTACTTATCTGAAATCTTAACTTATTTTATTAAATAATTAATTTTAAATAATTACTTAGGAATAAGGAGTAACTAGTATATAATCTATAGTTACACACTGAAGAGGCAAAACTCCTGAAGTAAATCAATAAACTCTTACCCCAGTATCTTAGCACAATCATCATAGTATTTCATGGAGTTTTTCACAAAACTGAAGCCGTTCACATCACAGACATATGACTGTCCATTAGCACGCAGCAAATCAAAGCCACAAACTGTTTGCTGTTTTTAAGAATAAAAGTTCAAGTCATTGATCACTTTCCTTAAATTTTCTTACTTTACACTTAAAACTTCTTTTCAATTCCATGTCAGGCTCGCTCAGCATGTAAACATCTTCTTACCTATTAACTTTGTACCCCCAACTTGAATTAAATCTTCCTACATGACCACAGCAGAATCAGTATTTTGCATCAGATTCACACGCACACAAGCTCAACCTTCAAAATATATAGCTTAGGCAATTATAGACTTACAAGTTCCCATTTGGACAGTAGAGTTTCCCCTTATACATTGTTTTTAAGAGCAGTAGGCAAGAAATGATAAAACATTAATAAAGACATTTTTGCCCAAATTTAAATTTGATAGGATAGTCTTGCTAAAGACTTAGTATTGATACTGTTAGTAAAAGATATTAAATGCAATTTCAAAGTCCCTTTTGCTAGGTAACAGTTGTCCACAATCTCTAGTGTAAACTACCATGGTTGCAACCCTTTATGAAATGGACTAAAAGACAGCTTTTCAATAAGAAGTCTGAAAAGGACAGAAAAGACTGAATGAAGTTTTAATACAGGAAACATAGAACTATACAAAAATGGACTCTACCAAACACTTCGAATAAAGAAAAGCCCAACCAGACACCAGGTAACAAGAGCAGCAAAAACTTGACTACTGAAGATGCATTTCCCTAATTAGAAACCACTAATATGGTTATGCATAGAACAGACACACTGTGGACTAGCAAAGCACAAGAGTAACATGTAAGGAAACATACAGGAAACTCATGCAACTAAGCAACACATCCGGAACTTCTCGCTGCATTTAAAGATTTTTTTTTTTCATCTTCAGCTCAAAGTCTAAAATATGCCCTATCAGGGGCACAGAGCATACAATATCACTGCTAGCTTTGGACATTTAAACACTACAGAAGTTTCAGGTAGTAAACAATTAATTAGCATTAAATGTTTGATCAGATAGGAAAGTAATCAGCTTACCTTAAAGGCAAGGCATACTTTCCAAGCAATTAACTTCTCTCTTGCATTCAGGATGACTGGATACCTCACTTCTTTTCCTTCGCTATCCCGCTCTACCTTACCATCAAGAGCTGGAGACTTCCGGGCTTCAGCATGAGCATAGTCAGGACCTACTGTGTACACCTTTATTGAAAAAGAACAACTCCTGATTCAGTGTAATTAAGTTACATCACACTTATCCATACATCCTTCTGAATTTATCTCAGATGTGATAATCACTGCAATCGCACAGCACAGTCTCTTCTAGATGTCCCTTTTTACACATAGGGTTTGGACCAGATGACCTTCAGAGACCCTATGCAACCTTACATTCTATGATTCTGTGAAGATACTAGCAGTTGTTATTGATAATTCTGCTCTGAAGTACCCTTCTCAAGGGTATGGCATTCAGAGAGCACCCATTATTTAGAGGCCATTGAGGATGAAGCTGAAGCACATGTAAAGAAAATAAAACATAAAACTTAATGAACAAAAATCAATTCCTTAATTATGGCAACATAAAGGTAAAGAATGTTCTTTTTCTTCAAATCATCTGCAGTACTTGGAAAGCAGATTAACTCAAGAATAATTTGAGCTCCACTGATTATAGAATCACCAGTCCTGGTGGCAGGAGTAAATGATTAATTAAAAAAATACTTTCATATTTTAGGTAAGACTGAACGAAGCGACAATCTGCCCAGTTTTGGCATTACAAGACAGCAGCCTGAGAGAATGATTGTACTACCTCCTGTGCTACAATTTTAATACTCACTTCAATCAAGTAGCTGGGCTTGTGCATTAAGACACTCAACAGCCCTCAGTAAATAGGATACTGTTACTGTACTTGAAAATAAGACTGTTAATCTTCGACCAAAAAAAAAGTACTCAGGTAAAACAGATGACTGCTATCAAACATTATAACCAATTTCAAACAGCACTGAAGAGTGCTGTCATGAGAACTGCCACACTCTTGATAACTTCTTAGTTCTTACAAAGTAGAGTAATGGCCTGGTTTAGATGAAGAAACTGCACTAGCTGTGACTGCATGATGTAGATAGACTAGATGTGACTGCATGACTAGCTCTGCATGATGTTTGGAAGTCTAAGCTGACAACATTCCTTCTATCCATATAATGCCTTCAACAGTGTGAGATTATAAAGTGATACTGAGAGTATGTATATTAAATATGGCTAGTCTCTAGCAGGTTTTCCTTTTGTGTTCGATTTAAGGGAGCAGTAGTAGGCAGCTATGCTTCCTTAGACAGCTCCTAGATGCAAAGTCCTGCAGGACATCATTTGAAAAAGAGATCGTAACAAATGTGTATTAGACAATGACTTTAAGGCATGGAATATTATCAGTATCCTTGAAGACCTGAATGAGAATCTCCTGTTTGAATGACAATTGCAATACTTATGCTGCTAGCAAGCTGATATTGGAAGACAGAAAACAGATGCCGAAAATGAGCTGGATAAAACTGCAGCATAAAGCTGACAGTCTCGTTATTAAAAAAAATAAATCCACTATTTACACACGGTGTTCAAGTCTGCAGATGCTGTTTGATGTCTACCATTTAACAGCTGTCAAAACAGGCTGCACCCTCAAGTCATATGCATCTCTTCAAGTTCCTATAAACTTTTCTCCTTGGAAACATATTGTAAAGCTCTTACATAGACTCAGATTAAAGTGTTCCACACTAAAATCATATGAAGACTAAGCAGAACATCTTTAGGAAGGGGGGGATTTGCCTGCGAACAAAAAATTAGCATCACCCTCATGTATCTCCAGATGGAAGAAGTTGACTGCAGTTTCTCAAGGGCTTATTTGGCATAAGACTGGATTAGATCACATACTCTAACTTCCACTTTTTGCCTAAATATGGTGATCTCTCATGTACATGATAAAACACTCATTATACTTGTTCAGTGCTGGGCTTAAAACAGCCAGAACTAACACAAAGCAGGCAATCCCAATAGGTGGAACCTGTGCTGTTACTGCTTTTCACTCTTTTATGATGCTTACTCTTTATATCTATTTAGAAAATAAACAAAAGAGTAAAAATAATTACAGATAAGCACAACTCGCTACTTTTCCAACTTCATATCATTTTATTTAATAACTTTTGATTATTAATTAGAAGAATACCTTATTTGGTAAAATGTATCTCGGCTACAGATTTTTTTTTTTTTTAACATTTAAACAAAACATCTGGACAGTATCTGTCTGTTCACACAGAAAAGTATATACGATACTAATACTATAAAAAAAAAAGTGTCAGGTTATAAGCTGTATGGAAAAATAGAGATCATGGCCTGAATAGGAGACCAACTCACAAGAAAGGAATTGTGTTAGCCTGGGAAACTGCCTGCAGTTAATAAGCCATGGTGCTAAGAGGTAGTGTGGGCATTCTGCAGGTCCGTCGCCATCAGTATCTGCTGGGGGAAACTCCAGGGCAGACACTGTAGCTGAGAGCCACTTCCACTAACGTGAGTACCTCTCTATTAAACTGATGAATGTTAATTTGTCTCCGCATGCTGTCTTTGTGGGATGAGTAATCCTTCTGCAGAAGTGCTGGTGCTTCTACATTACATAAGCCTCCTGCACCAGATTCCAGTGACGTAACCCAACTTCTGTATATTATAAGTACTATGTTTAGCTAGATAAAACTGTCATTCTTCTCTTATGAACTCTATCAAAACTTAACTAAAATTAATCCTCAACACAATGATTTACTTTTATCTTTAAAACTGAGAAATTCATGGAGTACTTTAGTGCTTTAAATATAAGTCAGAATATGCAGTTATCATACCTTCACATCTGTGCCATCCGTAGGCATAAATTCCTCATAAATATAGGAGCCTGTTTTTCTCACGCTGCTTTCAGGGGAATAAACACTGCTTCTGCTGCCAATCTGAAACAAATATTTTTCTATTAATAAACTCGAAAGCTACTGAGAAATTGCAAAACTCCTTAAAATAACAAACCTATACTGGGAAAACATTTCCTGTACCAAACATAGCAAGTAGGTTTTGATCAAACTCAAATGCACTGAAAACATATGCTTCTTCTACTGTAAGTATTAGCAGCTGCTGAACGTCTACTGAACAGAACAGGGGTCTTCAGTCATTCTATAGGTTTCCTTGAAGAACATTTATCTATCTGCTGCTACCCCTACAATGGCAGGTCATACTCAGCAATTCTGCTGGTCATCTACAATCTTAAAAAAAAATAAAATAAAATAATAAAAACAACAAAAAAAAAGGAGGGGCAGGGGAGGGAAGCTAGACTAGCTTTCAAATTCAACATCAATTAATTTCACCTTTTTTATAGTCATTAAAACATATCCAAGAATATAGTCACTTAACATGACGGAATCTCCATAGTCTTAGCGCGCTATCCTCACCTTTCGAAAAAGCCTCTGGCTTCCACCCCCAGCAGATGCTGGGTAATAAATGTAAACATTGTGGTCCTCAGCACTAACTGGCTTTTCTACAAAAGGCTTTTGGAAAATTTCCCCATTCACTTCCACATGATCTTCTCCTTCAATCAAGTTGCATTCTGAAGAAACAATGCAAACAACAGATGTAATAATATTTTCACGGAACAAAATTATTAGGGACTTGGAGTGATTTTGGAGGTTGAAATAAAAAGGCTATTGTGAACCTCTGGTTCACTGCTTTGTTATTAATGCACAAAAAGTTAATCAACATTTGCTGAACACCTGCTGTACCACATCTCAATTGTGTTAAATTATTAGGCTTTCTGTAGATTCTTGTGGCATCACACAGGAAATTTTCCCTCCAGATTTTGCATGTATAAAATAAAAAAAAAAAAAAAAAAAGCTTTTAAGATAGGGCACTAGGCTAATGTGGCAAGGTTTTGGTAATAGGGGTGGAAAGTGGGCTGGAGGGGGATCTGTGCTCACAGAGCCCAGCTGTTTCAGAGCAGCACCACTCCAGCTGCTCCAACAGGGTCCCCCCACCGCCTGAAAGGGTGGGCCCCTGGTACAGAGCTGTGTCAGAGCTGTGCCAGGAGACCTGCAGGTTGTGGGAAGCCCACGCATAATCAGACGGGGAAGGATGGCATGCTCTGGAAGGAATCTAAGTGGAGCAACAGAAAGGGACCATGCAGGAATGGCAGAGATGGAGTGTTATGGACTGACTGACCACAGCCCTCATTCCCCTGCATTGCCCAGGGAACGGTGTGAGGCAGAAGTAGGTAATGCTTTTAATAAGCATTCTGATCTCACTGCACTAGTCTGCTAGCAACAGGCAATAAATTACATTAATCTCCCTAAACTGCATCTGTTTCGCACATGCTTATACACGGTGAATAATCTCCCTACTCTTATCTCATCCCATGATCATTTTATTTTCATCATATTTTTTCCCCATTTCTGCTGAGGAGGAAGGATGAGAGAGCAATATGGTGGAGCAGAGCTGCCCATCAGTGTGAAATCACCCCCAGCTGTTTGTTTTTTCTTTAGAGCTCTTTTTTGAAACATCAGAGGTATGACAGCCAAACAGCAAACACTGTGGTGCTAGATGCAATATTTTCAAGAGGCTGAGAACTACCTCAACATACAATAGATCAATCTTTTTGTTTGCTGTTTGCAATTGATATTCAGAGCACATTATCTGCAGATTTGACTTTCCCCTTATACATCTGTTTATTTGCTCATGAAGAGAAAGTCTTGCTTTAATAACTTGATCTCCTCTTATGATAAGGTTGCATGATAAAGAAGGGGACAGATGTGCTTTTTTTTTTTATTTCAGTAACACATTCGATACCACCCCAAACAGCATCCTTCCGTAAAAGCTGTCCAGCTCTGAAGACAGGTGGACACTACACTGAGCAATGACCTGGCTCAATGGTGCAATTCAAACTGTATACTTGTTCAGTGGCTGGACACCAGCAGTGCTCCCCAGGGCTCAATTCCAGGGCCAGTCCTGCTCAATATTTTTATCAATGATATGGACACAGGAATAGAATGTGTCCTCAGCAAGTTTGCAAGTGATAACAAAAAGATGCTGTTGATTCCCTGGCTGAACAAGAGGAATTTACATAGATCGGAACACTGGGTAGTCAGCAATAGAATGGAATTCAACACAGGAAAATGCCAAGTTCTTCAGCTTAGTTGAGGTTATGCCAGACACAGGTAGAAGCTGGGAGACAAGTTCTGGAAAACAGCTCAGCAGAAAGTGACCTGGGGGTGATGCTGAAAGCAGCTCAACATAAACCCAGTAGCGTGCTTTTACAGCCAAGAAGGCAAAATGCATTTTGGAATGCACTGAATACAGCACAGTCAGTCAGCTGAAAGAGATGATTCTTCTGCTATATTTAGCACTGGGGCTGCCACACCTTGAATACTGCACATATTTTCAGGCTCTATAAAACAAAAGACATTAAGGACCTTGTAAGCAGAGGAGGGTAACAAAACTAATAAGAAAGCTGGAAGGCACGTCCCGTAAAGAGAGGCTGAGGGCACTTCGGTTGTCCAGTTTGCAAAAAAGATGGCCAAGATAAAGTATCATTGCTCTTTGCAGCCCGCCGTGGAAGGGAAGCACAAAGGGAAGTGTCAGTTCCTCTTCCCCAGTAATCGGTAACAGGACACACATGAACGGCACAAAGTAGCAACAGGTGAGGCTCGGAGTGCACACACACAAAAAATTCTTCACCATGAGAGTTGTCCAGCAGGCCTCCTAGTGAGGTGTTGTGCTCCATGCTTTGTCATGTGCAAGAGACATTTGGATAATTCATTCAACTTCTGGTTAGCCCTGAAGAGGTCATGCAATTGGATCTGATGATCTTTGTAGATCCTTCTAACCAAACTAATCCGTTCTATTCTACAAAGGAAAGCATTCAGTAGCCTGAGTAGTTTCTGCCAGTGCCTAACTGAAATCATTTTATTGTTTATCAGTTTATTGTGGGCAATGTTAAGTTCATGAACACTGCTCTCCACAGTGACAAATTTTGTCTCCGTGCAAGCTGGAAGGTCTTTGTATTCTAGTTGGTCTGTGAAGGCTAAAGAAGACTGTGAACCCGTAATTTAGAACCACAACTTTTCAGATGCACACCTGTACTGGTTTTGGTGGGGACAGAGCTAATGAACTTCATAGGAAGTCATACAATGCTATGCCTTGGGTTTGTGATCAAAGAATGCATGTTTGAAGTATGACTGAACAGGGCTTACACAGTGTCAATGTCTTTTCTGTTTCTCACACTTCCCTGGCGGCAAGCAGCAAAAGTAAGTTTGTGGGTTAACTCTTAAGCATTGCATAAGAAATTTCTGAGGCACTGAATTAATCCTCCAGGAAGTGAAATAGCTTCCTGCTATGTATCCACCACTCACCAGTGGAAAACAAAGAGATGCCATTAGTTAACAGTTTTGTAATCAATTTTTACCTTGTGGATTGTTTGGATCACGGTTCAGAACTGCGTAACGAGGAAGTAAAATGCCTTCAGCTTTAAGAATACCATACACTTCTCTCCTAGAAGAAGAAGGTTCCAAAGCATGACAGCAAAACCTGACAGTATTTGAATTTTTATAGACCATGAGGAAGGGAGCAGGAAAATACATACAACTGTTTTCTAAAAAAAAAACAAAAAACAAAAAACAAACAAACAAAAAAAAAAAAAACAAAAACCCACCACTACACAGTGAACATACTACTATTATATATTTAATACTGTACTTCTGCATACTTTAAAGGTCACTGACACAATGGTTCCTTTGTTGTGACCACACCAGTAGCAGTAAGAATGCCATTTGCTGTGCCAGTCTTGTCCTCTCCACTCTGACAAGAGAAACAATTTTAATAGCTCTCTTGTCAAAGACATGAACAGAGACTGAAAATGTTTATGCATGACAACAAATAAAGGCATCTAAAATAGCAATTCCACATATTGTCCAAAGTGTCCAGTGTTAATGTACTTCGTTTGCTATTGTTTTGTTACTATTTGCTGTGCATGATCAAAGCCCCAGAAGAAAACTGACTCTGAATGACCACACAGTCTCCTAATATTAACAACTCCCAGAAGTTCTCATGGAACATTAAAAAAACATAAATTCCTTAAGTAAGCTACAAATGGAGGACTGTATGTATCTATGCTACACTTAGTTTTTCCAAAGCTTAAGTTTCACATTTGCTAGACATTAAACTAACACTTTACTCAATTACAACCTTGGTAACCTTCAGAGTACCAAAATAAAAGTACTAAAAGAAAAAGAACATCTAAATGCATATCACTGAAAACTAGAAGCATATTAGGAAAACAAAATTCAAAAATTTTTCTACGGTACAGTACATTAGAAGCAGTGTTATGCAATGCCAACAAATCCTCATATTCTAACTTAGAAATGTACTTTTAGAGGTAATCGCCGCTTACCTGTCTTGTATGCGATACTGCATATTCAAGTCATTGATTATGAATGGATTCCTGAGTTTTGCATAGGCAACCGCTTTGTCCAGTGGAAATCCTAAAACATCAAGAAATAAGTTAAAACTACAAGACAAAACACCAGTAAACAGTTTGGAACATTTTTTTTTCAAGCTTTAGTTAGAAATCTTATGGCATAAAAGGGGGTATGGTTCCTCCCTCAGCTGCAGATAACACTAACATTTCCTTAAGATGATCACAAAACTGCATCCTGACTTCAGTGTAGACTGGTTAAAGCAGAGATCTTGACTTCTATTCCCTCCTCCAGACTCCCTCTATTTTCTTAGAGCCAGAACTAGGCTTCTATTACTTTAGCCTAATTAAAAATAAAATAAAATAAAATTTAAACTTTCACTTGGTCATCTTAGGCTCACTTCACAAACCCACAAAAAAAAAGGTAAATATTAACACAGATAGATGAGGTCAAGAGAGCCAACACTCCACAGAGAGAAGAACACGCATTGAGAATTAATGGACAAAGTAAGCATTGGTCTAACACTCCTTATCATTTCCACTGGTTTCACAAAAAGAATAGCTACTTTAAAATACCACATCGGACAGCACTTTCTCAAGGAATTAAAACAGCATCAATTAGTAATATAACTGATGTTCAAAAAGACAGAAGTAATCAACTAGGATAACCTACTGATTTTGACAGGCAAAAAACCCAGCAACAACAGTTAGGAACAAAGTATTTGGATGTCAAAAATTTTTATGGTATTATTAAAATATTTACCTTTAGAATGGAAAGAAATGAGACAGTCACATAATGGCCAGTTTTCTACTGGCTCATTCAAAATAACATCTTCCTCAAATATTACAACAGTAATGTACTTAAACATGGAGAGACGTTCAAGAATTTCTTTCATTGGTTTAGACTTTGATTTCTTGGCCATTGAACAAATTCCAACTGCAATCTGTCTTTCTGGTGGCTGAAGAGAAGGGGAAAAAATATTGGGTTTTCTCAGAATGCAATTGTGTTAGAGCAGCACAATTTTAGAGAAGGCATTTTCTGATAAAATTCACTTACTACCTCTAAGCTAGTTTTTACTAGAAGACAACATTGCAATAAGACAACATGTCTCTCTGCATCCTTATGAAAAATGTGCCTAGAAATTAAATTGTGCTATAACTTCCTGTGAAATTAACCAGCAATTTGTTTTTAAGCTGTTTAATATTTTTAAATCTCATAGTCACAAGGCCTCTCAGCTCATTACCTAATAAGAAAGGAAATTAAAGCTAAGAATTACTAGTCTGTATTTCAGAATGAAGCTGTCTATGCACTTCTTCTTTATAGTCTGTTTTATTTCATGCTGTGAGGCTTCAAAAAAAAATAAAAAAATAAAAATAAAAACAACCTTCACTGGTGGTATTCATAAGAGAACAGCCAATGTATTTATTTGTTTTAAAAGAGAGAAATAGACTAAGTACAAAAACCTTTTATTTCAAATGAAAGCTCTTTAAAAGGTAGGCAATTACTTTTCCTTTAAAGTACACTGATTGCACTGAACAGTCTGAGCTACGAATCTTGCAGTACTTCATAGCACTCCCCAGTTAAGCTTAATCACTGTCAAATGTTGTGTTAACATTTCTTTGCTTTCAAACTTCCTAGACACACTTGCAGTCAGTGAAAATTTAATATCACATTTCCCAAAGTGGAATGTTATAGAGTAAAAAAATAGTAAAATTCAGCTAAAAATCCTACAATATGGCAACTCACGATAAAGTTAAGAGTTGGACAAAGACCTGTTAATAAACTCATTTCATTAAACTTGCAGAGCGTACTAAGCCATAAGATTAACCTTAACCGTACACTTTCTATATACCAAGATAAGAAACAAAATTTCTTATCTTGGCATATTTGGTCTTAATGAAAACAATATGATGAAGAAAGAGATATGAAGAGTCTGTTCAAACTGAAGATAAAAGGACACTGCATCAGTTGACAACATACACTAAAGAAAAATTATCCATATTTTTTTTGCAACTAATTGTACAAATAAATATAATGAAAGTTTAGGCCATCAAGCTCAATAACAGAGGCTTAATCAGGCCTGCAAAGCTCAGCTGATCTGAAACTGCAATAAGGTAAAGTACATCTACTTCTAAATTCAAGGTACATTTATTTCCCAAGTGTGCCACATTTCCAAACATAAGTAACAAGATCATTGACTACTAACATTATCTCCCCATTCAGAACATCACCTCAGTATTACATTTTTGTAATCTAACATCATCTCAAAGTAAAACAATGCTAGAGAGCATACAAATAACACACATTACAGTACTTACCGAGTCATATTCTTCCTCCTCTTCTTCCCCATGGTCATAGAAATGTTCACAATCCGTAGATCTGGCTGAATCCAACAGTTCTTCTCCATCTTCTCCACCAACGAAGAATCTAGGAGGATCATTCTCTGTTGCACTAACAGACATGGCTAAGAGATCTACAGATATTTATGTTGAGACTACAGTCACTTTGGCAGCTGAGATGCTGGGCATGTTTCCTAATGACTTGGGAGCGCAGAAGTCCCTGGCTTGTTGATGCTGTTGAGCGGTGTTGCCACAGTGATGGCACTGTGACATGAACCAAACACCATTAACCTGGTATCATCTGCTTATTATTGGTTTAAGTTATTGCTTCAGGAGACCCACAACAGGCTACTGCTTCCCTGAGATGGTACTGCTTCTGAACCTACAAAAAATTTAAAAAAAAATCCAAATTAACAAACAAACTCACACACTTGATAAAGATACACAAAAATAAACCTCTCACTTATAAAAAGCATTTGAACATTTATATACCACTGAGGAAAACATCAGAAAGGAAATGCTACGAAGTACAGGATTTGCTTTTACTCATGTCTTTAGAGAAAAAGTATTTTGGAAATACCTTCCAGAGATTTTCAAACTACTGACCAACATTTTAAAAACAGACAATATAACTCAGGAAAGTAAAGCCGTCACTTGCATTTTTTCCTAACTTCAGAAGAGTAAAGTTGAGACCATATGTTAAATATTTTTGTTCTTTCGTCGTAATATTTCTAACTCTCTGTCAGCTGTTTTCCCCCAAAGTTTGCTGATCAAATGAAACAGCAAGCAAATAAAATCCCATCTGAAAGGAGTAAAGCTGCCACTCAAACCATTCTAAAGCAGATCATCAGATTAAAAGCAAAATGTGCTACCTTGATATTACGTGCATATTCATTTCCAGGAAAACACTGTTTCATTTTCACATTGGAAGCTAATAGTTAGAGGTATGCACTACCATTGCCTTCTACCTTCTACTTTGATGCAGCACTGTACAGTGAAGAGAGCACTCTGTAACTTTCCAATAGTCACATGAAAATAAATTCTTGACCAAGTAAGTCGGCTACAGAAACAACAACCCAGCATCCAGCCTTCTGACATATTAATTGCTAATTCTCTTCTTGCTGTAAGCTATGCACAGCTCTATGCCATTAATTATAATCTACTACAGTTATTTAGGATATTAATAAAGCAGTTGTTCAGAAGCTGATCTGATGCTTTAGACTGCCCATTACACAGATCATTATGTGCCATTCAATAATGATGTCTCAGCAGAACTGAATTTATCTTTAAATATCTGTCAAAATGACTGTTCCATGAACCATGTGAAGCAATAGTAAATTCCAACAGTAGTCAGCCATTCAGCTTCCTCAGAAAGAGGGTGGTAAATGGAGCAAAAGTTACCCAGAAAGGATCTGTGAGGGAGCAATAGGTTAAGCATGGATAAACAAAACAGCTGTTTCAGACTCTGAAGCTGAGATTTGAACAACAGGTACATAAGGATCCAGACTAACAAAAGGCTCTTTCAATTTCATTGATAAAAGATTATCTTCTCTTATCCTGCTAAACTGTACCTATCTGTCCTTCAAGCAACAAAACAAAACAAAACTTCAAACACCTGGCATCACCTTGCTCCTGTGAGAGTTAGAAATTAGGTTTCAATAAATCAACCTTGTTTACAAAAAGGTGGAGAAAACAAGGTGTCTAAATCATAATTCCAGCAGGCTTCAGAAAGGCAAAGGTTATTGCTAACAGATACAGGCAAGTAATACAAATTTTGAAATAGCATTAAAGATTGACAAAACAAAACATCTCCATCTGGTAGAGCCTGAAAAATAAGTTTAAGAGTTCCCCTTGGAGCAGTTTTGTCTGTTTCCCTCTCCCTAGCCAGACAATGTAATTTTGAAACAAATGTCTCATGAGGAAACTTTAAGATTGAAAAAGTTATTAAAGTAGGAAAAACATTCACTTGAAGCAGATAAGAAGAAGGTCATCAGAAAAGGTAGGCTTTCTCTTCCCTACATATTCCTGCAGTGCATGCTGCAACAGCACTAGAAGCTGCACAGTCAAGCAATTAACAACTAGTTACTTCATGACGATTTTCAGCCAGATTTCTCCAGTCTGAAAAGATCACTTCCCAAAGCAGGTACCTAAAATAAATACTGAAGAGAAAGCACGTTTGTCGACAAATCACAAAACTAAACTTGTCAGCAGATCCGAAACTTAGTGCGTTTCTACATTCTTCAGAATCTGGAGAGCAGTTGCTGGTTTCAATGGCAGGAAGTAAACCTGCCAAGCAGAGCTTTGCAGAAAGCAGACTTTGGGCAGCCACCCTACTCTCTTCAGAGTTAACATCTTCTGCAAGGTAAGCTGCATTGTCCACCCCTCTGAAGGTGGTGCCTTTTCCACAACTGGTATCTTTTAACAACTATCCTGTAAGACATAAATCTACCTTTCTGTACCCATGTATCCTATGCAGCATTCTACCATGACTTCGGAGACACTAGTTTGGAGAACTCTTTTAGTCATCACATTGTTTCCAACTGCACAAGTTCCTCCAACTCTTGTGGAAAAGTTTATATTCAACATTACTGCAGAAAGTCTGTAAGTCTAGAGGGAAGGAGACAATGACTTTGAAGTCCATGTTTTTTTTCTTAGGAATACAGATGTCTTCCTATCCCAAATACATAAAATGTGCAACTTGGAAAAATATAAAATGCCATGAAAACTGGCAGAGCTTCAACTGCTGTTCTCGTTTCTCTTCAGGGAAAGAGAGATAAAATTTTCAGAAGTAATTGGGCACAGCTACATGAACACCAGCTCAAAATACAGATTACTTCCTAGCTGAAAAGATAAGAGAATGCATGTGATGCGGCTCTGGGCAGCCTGGTCTAGTGGTTGGTAACCCTGCACACAGCAGGGGGTTGAAACTAGATGATCATTATTGCCCTTTTCAAGCCAGGCCATTCTATGATTTTTATGAAGGGCAGCTTGCAATCTTAAGGAGAGCATACACAAGTGAAAGAAATCTTGGAATCAATTTCGCTCATAAGCTATCCAGTTGTAGGTTACTTAATTGACATCTACAATTGACACTGGACCCCAAAGCTTCCACACAGTTTGTAAAAATAGGACCAAAGACAAAAGATTAAAAAAAGCTATTGATGCTCTTGCAAATTACTTCATGGACTCACTGAATTGCATATAAATTGGCATTCTGACTACTGATGGATAGCAGCTTATCTTACAGACAGCAGATGCTGCAGGCCATTCTCGTTAGCATAAAATTGGGTTGGGATATAAATAATTTATATTCAGAATAAATGCTTTAAAAGACTGGAATTGAAACTCTTTCCCTTCAAATACTTTGGCTACAGTAAAAATAGAGGAGTTTACTCCATTCCCATGGTGCGTAAAGTAACAAGAGCCCATGGAAAGTAACATGGAAAGAGAAATCTGAGCGTAACTAACTGTGAATACAGCGAATAACTTACAGAAGCCTTCCAACACATCTATAGTTAGCTGAGATGGGAAAAAAAAAATGCAGAAACTACTATGTAATAATTTTACTATTGCTGTTTCTCAAATTGTATACCATGTAGAAACAGTAACGGCAGAGCAAAAGGATGGAACTCTCTTCTGAAATAGTCCCAGCTACCTCAGAAGGACTGTCAGAGAGATGTTTCATTGCTGTTTGGAGAAGGCACCTGAAGCAAGAATGCTTTTGGAACACTGCTCAAAATATTTGAGGTGTTCCTGTAAGCAAAGACTTTGGCACATTCACAGTTGTCTGTAACACCAGTTATGGCTTTTAACCTGACAGAGAGCTCTGCTAGGCTTTTGTGTACAACCAATTGGCTTACTAAAAGCAACTAACAGAGAAGCTGAAGAATTGTCTTTTCACTATAATTCTCATTGTGTCACTGTTTTTTGGCAGATTTTTGAAGTGCTTAGGCTCTTACCCCTGCAGATCCTGTATCAGTGCTGTCAGCTCTCAGAATGCAGATGACTACCAGTTTGTTCTCCTTTCCATCTCACTTCTGCTACCCCCTACTGTACTTTCTACACCACCAGTAACCCAACAAACCAACCACCTTCTGTGTTTTTTTTTGTGCCTTAAATTGGGTTGCAGAATTGAAATTCTAAACAGACAAAATACTTTTTAGCTACAGTAAGGCAAATGTTTTTGCTGTTGTTAATGCTGTTAATGCAAACGGTAGTTGCAACAGCTGTAACAGGAAGAAGTCTTTTGACACCTCACTGAAACAACCTGGAAAATTGTTATGGAAACTGTTCAGGTTTTCCCTGCTTAATTTGAGTTGGATGAAACATAATGGATTTCTAGTTGTTTGGTGATCCTTGGGGTCCCTTCCAACGCAAACCATTTGTAATTCTATTGTTTTATGTATAGAATGATGTAACAGATGAGCACCAGTGACACTTCTTGTACAGCTAAATGCTAAGATGTCACAAAAGTGTTCTGTAGTTTTCATGGCATTCCCAAAAGAAGCATGTTTGAGTGGTTCCTGGTTTATAAGCATTTGGTAGCTATTTCTTGTATGATGTGTGCTTTTTTTTTTTTTTTTTTTTTTTTTTTTTTTTTTTTTACCTTGAGATAACAGACAAGAAGCATTTTTATTCAATTTCTGTTCCATTACCATCCATTAGAATTCAGTGAAGGTAGTATTTGTTCTCTGATAGGTGTCACTACACCCAAGAGGACTTGTCTGTGCTTTTATCAGTGTTCATAACATAGCTGTTAATACTGAGCCTCTTTTACATGTCTGTTCAGACCACTGCTGCTGTGTTGAGCGGATTTGATGCTGGCTTTTCCTGGAATGCTAATCTTCGTGGTCTAAGTAAATTTGGGAAATACCAAGGCTGGATTCCTGAGCTGTTGAAACATGCAGAGTGGAAACAGGAAAACTGGGTGAATACCTATTAACTGTTGTTGAGGTCTATTTTCTTAGTGTTCTTCTGCTAGAATATGCATTCTGCATGCATATATTCTACTAGAATATATGTTCTGCAAGGAGAAAGTAAGTAGTGTGCCACTGGAGTGAGCACTGTACTGCTAGTGCTCAGCAGGCTGTCAGAATGTGTGATCCAAGTACTGCTCTTTTTGTCTATTAATTTTAAATTTGTGTGCAGAGTTTTAAATAATTAGGATGATTTTGTGTACCTTCCATCACTAAATGCCCATAATAGTAATGAAATTTAAGAGCTTACAGATCTCCTTTGCAATGCATTATTTTAGTACCATCTGACTTCTTACGTAAAAGCCAATATACATTTATTTTAAAGTAACCAATTTTCTCCAAACACCTGTTGTTTGTTTCTTTTTTTGTTGTTGTTGCTTTGGCCAGGAGGTACCATGTTGTCATGAACAGGAAGTTTTAGGATGCACCAGAAAAATTATAACAGCTCCCACTGCACAACTGAAACTGACCAATTTTTCAGTTTCGCTCCACTGAGTGCTACTGAGATCACAAGATGCACTTGAATGAAGAGGAGCCAGAAGCCTTCCTCCCTCAACCAGGTGCTCCAAAGGTTCTCCCTAGCCAAATAACTACTGTACTGTTGTTACCTGCAGTCCATTTTTAGCTGTGAAGAGTATAGGTGCTTTTATTCACATTTTTTTTCATCTCAGTGGTTACAGAATCATGGAGGCTGGGAGGGAGAAGGTAAAAACATTCTTCCAATACACAGAAAATTGGGACTCAAAACCACGAAGACAGGAGGGAACATAAACTGTGCTTTGACCTGTTCCATCCAAATGCTCTGATCATTAAGCTGCCATAAAACAACTTCACCTGCAGTTTCTCTTGAAGCTAAGGGCTCCTTCTTAGTGTTGAAGGCTCAATGCTTCAGATTTCAAGCAGGAGGTACCTGATGTGCAATACCTCCCCAGTGAGATGCCTACAGGAATCCACGAACAACCATCTTAACAGTGTTTCCCATTGGAAGCAGCTCTGGACAGTGCTACTTAGAAGAGCACTGACATTTCTGGAAGTGCTGTGCAGGTTGGCCAGCCAAATAACAGCAGTTGCATACATCTTCTTATCATGTACTGAAAATTGACAGTTGCACAGTGCTGTATGAACCAGGACACTGTCATAAAGCCAACTTACAGACGAGAAATAAACACGCCTTTGAGGATGGTAGTGAATTAGATTTCTGGTCTTAAAGCACAATTGCTATAGTTTGCAGGCATCAGCCTTCTGGCTGATCTCCCGATGTTTACTCTCCTCCCTAGTAACTGCAGTTTTCTAGGCAAAGAATTTCCAGACACTCAGAATCACCAAACAACATGAAAAGCCTGTTCAAAACAAGTATTTTCCCCTTACAACTTTCATTACTGAGAAAAACGATGCTTTCCTAACATCTCATCCACCAAAAGTGTGACTTTTCTCCATCTGCAATGAGTCTGCTAAAACTCACTCCAAGTTTTAAGCTGAGCCATTCTATGCACTGCACTTACAGCTGGGCAGCCTACAGCCCTTCAGCATGGAGAGTGTAAACTAGAAAGTGATATTACAATACTTCAAAACAAGTGTCTGAACCGCCTTAGAAGGCTAAAAAAAGCTTTCTGGTAAATATCACTGTCATCCCTTCAAGATAGAGGGGTAGTATTTTTTAAGCAGGTAAACAAAGTTATATTAGGCACAAGAGTCCTGCACAGCCACAGAGCAGATAACCTTTTTGTCCTTTGACTTTCATGTTCATTTCCACGACAAATCTTGTCAAACACATCACAAGAATACCTCTACACTCGTGCCAACTTTGAACGTTCCAAGAAAGAGTGTCTTTCTTTAGAGATCCCACTCAAGCTCAAGCCTGTCAAAAAAGCTTCTCCATACCCTCACAAAGAGCACATGACTTCGTTTAGACAACCAACTGCTTGCAAAGGGGAAAAAGCTCAGCACCAAGGCTGCAGCAGGTGCAACTCGCTGAGGCTCCGCTCTCGGCACAGCCACCAGGAGCACGGAGCTTCCGCGCCAAAAGCAGTTTCACACAGCAGCGCTCGTGCAGATGGGCAGCGCGCTGCGCGATCGCCGCCGCTCACCAGGACAAAGCGCAGCGTGACGCGGGCTCTCTACCTCCGCCTCATCCGCACATGAGCTCCCTGCGAGCGCGGCCGCGCCACAAGGTGCCGAGGGAACGGCAACCCGCCCTGCCCGAGCCCTGCGCCGCACTCACAGCGGTGTCCGGGCCCGCTCGGGAGACACACCGCCGCCCCGCACGCAGCACTGCGCTCGGAGCCCCGCCCGCCGCCGAGGCGGCCTCACCGTGCTCCGCAGAGCCGCGCCCGCCGCACACAGTGGGGCCCAATCCCTCCTGCCACCGTCCGTCTCTACAGTCCTTTAACTCCCCGCAGTCCCGGCCACCCGAGGTCCCGGTGAGAACCGCTAACCTTCAAATTCCCGGCCCGGCCGTCGCCGCCCCGCAACACCTAGCAACCGCCGCCTCACCTGCCCGCGGCGCAGCTCGCGCTCCCGCGATCCATTGAAGAGCCGCCGCCGCCGCCGCCCCGCCCTCCGCGGCGGCCTGCCCCCGCCCCCACCCTGCCCGCCGCACTTCCGGGGGCGCCACATAAGTCCCGACCAGAGGGGTGGCGACGCTGCCGCTGCTGCTCCTGAGCGACCGGGAGAAGGCTGTGGATGCGCCAGTACCTCTGCAGGAACAGGTGCGTACCTGTGGCTCTGCGCAGCGCCCAGTGCGACGCTGACCTGGCTGCGGATCCCGAAGAAGGGGGTGCGAATCAGTACCAAAGAGCGGGACGGGGGGGGGAAGAAAAAGATCGCGCCGGCGCCGCTTCACGCATGCGCGGGCCTCGCCAGGTGGAGCCGTTCTGCGGATAGCGACTGTTCGGGGCTCCCAGCGTGCTTTGCGCGGGCTGCGCAGCGTGCTTTGAGCGGCGCAGTGCACCATGGGAGCTGTAGTCCTATCGGAGGAGGTGGGAGCGGCTCCTTTCTCACATGAGACGTTCGTGGGGACCTAATTGCAAGCATGCCCCGGGGCGGCAGAAGTCTGTTACCATTCAGGGAGGGTTTTGGTTCTGAGGAGATCATGTAAGGCTATCCGGAGAATTCCTGCTTCTGGTGCTGCTTGGTCTGGATGAAAACAGCTTTGATTTATGGTTGCTTAGGCACATCAGTACAGGTTAGGGGTTGATCTGCTGGAAGAGAGCTCTGCAGAGAAGGGTTTAGGGATCCTAGTAGACAGCAGGTCGGCCATGAGCCAGCAGCATGTCTTTGTGGCCAAGAGTGCCAATGTATCCTGGGCTGTACCATGGAGAGAGCGGCCAGCAGGTCGAGGGAGGTGATCCTTTCCCTCTGCTGCACCCTGGTGAGGCCACACTTGTAATATAGTGGCCAGTTCTGGGCTCCTGCCTCTCAGAAAAAAGAGGAAACTTCTGGAGAGAGTCCAGCAGAGGGCTGGATGATGAGAGGTCTGGAGCATCTCCCTTCTGAGGAAAGGCTGAGAGACTTGGGGCTGCTCAGTCTGGACAAAACTGGGAGAGGATCTTATCAATACTTACAGATATCTGAAGAGTGAAGTCAAATGAATGGGGCTGGGCTCTTTTCAGTTGTATACAGAGACAAGACAAGAAGTGATGAGCACAAACTTCCTGCAACACGGGAAGTTCCATACAGATATGAAGAAGAACTTTACCTACCATGAAGGTTCGAACAGGCTGCCCAGGGTCATGCAATCTCCTTCTCTGAAGATATTTAGAATCTACCTGGATGTTTTATACAACCTGCTGGAGGGAACCTGGTTTAGTCGATGGTTTGGACTAGGTCAACACCAGGAGTCCCTTCCAGCCCCCTACGATCCTGTGATTCAGGAAAAGGGGGAAAAGAAACACAAATGTTCTTGAAAAAACATTTCATTTACAGGATCTCAGAATCTTATTGCAGTTTGTGTGGGGATGGAAGATGGACATTAAAAGGCAAAATAGTGAAGTATTAATAGCCATGGCTGTTTTGACAAAGATGCTAACACAAGAGCAGCTCTGCTTACAGGGAAGTATCAGCCTCTTCCTTCACTGTAAAACCATATATTCCTTCCCTACTTCAAAGTACTGAGGACTGATGACTCATTATATAATTAATTCATTTGCATAGAGTACTAGCTATGGTATGAATACTGATAGAAGTATTGTGTAAATTATCTGTGGTAATGGTTTATTCTAAAATAACTGAAACAGAAGGTTGTGTAACATGTTTTTGGTTTTTCTTTTATTTTTATTTTTTTTTATTATTAGACCAAGTGCACAGACCTAAAAGTGAGTGGGGACGCAGCAAGCTAAATATGCCGGAAGGAAATTCACTTAATGCTTTCCTTTTAGGCAGGAGTCCAGCAGCCTGCTGAAGCACTTAAATTTGCTGGTTCAGGATTACACGCAATACTCTAAATGCTTGTGGATGCTACACAAGATACATAAACGTGTTCTTTCTTCATAAGATTATGTGCACTCTGCCACATTTCTATAACAGAAACTGACATTGCAGGAATTAAGTCAAAACTTCTGTTCAGCTGAAGTATAAGCTGCACTGTTTCTCAGATAGATCTTACTGCTGTGCAACTTTATTTTTTTAGAACCTATAACCATATATTACATAGGGAACTTTCACAGTCTCAAGCAAGGCATGTGTGATCAGATCTTTCATGCTGAAAGAATAAAGATTGTTCTGGAACATCTTTTCGTGCAGCATATGAAAATCTGTCACCATCCAAAATGGACCAGCATCTCTGCTATTACTTCAGAAACTGTACCCAGCCACTTGTGACTTCCAGGCATGCTCTTGTAACTTCAGGCTGGCCTTCAGCAGTTGCCCTAAGTGAAGACACATTGAATGCATATGCTTAGCAGATGGAATATTTTAACTGTTCTTTTACCAGTAATCTTTTACTATCAGATATGCTAGTTAATGCAGAAACAATACATGTATCATGGTAGCCTCACCTTTCTTATTGCTGTTATCCAGTTTACCAGCTCAGCTGCTTTGGCTTGTACTATCAGATATAAATTTCCAAGAAAGGGAATGCCAGCCAAGATAGCTAAAAACAGTACTGTCTTCTGGATTCACTCCTCCCTTTCCTGAAATGCTCTCCTTTCTGATGGGAACAGTTGTTTAGTTGTGGAAATTCTCTCAATTATGACAATTTTACTTTGAAATTGTAATGTTGAATGATGACTTGGCTATTTTGCAAGCTGGATCTAGGTTATGCAAACTGAAATATTCAGTGGGTCAAAGGTCTTGTCATTGGTTGAATGAGAAGTTCCTGGCATGCATTTGGCATTGATAACACAGCCAAGCTACATAAAGGGAATAAGATATTCTATAAATCAGATACAGCATTTCACTTTCTCAGGAAAACAGTGATTAAAAACAGCTATAATCACAGTGGAGCTCTTTACCTTTTTCCCACCTGTAAGATACTACTCTAGACACCACCCTAAAAATAGTAAAGGCAGGTGAGAATCTAGAAATCGGAAGCTAAATATCTTAGCTTATACACTGTGCTTTCAAATAACATCGACATGTAAAGAGGTGGAGGATTCTGGAGTGGCTGGATACTGTCACTTTTTTTAATAATTATGTGCTGCTTAGCAGATATGGCAGACAATCTGACTATTCCTTTTAGCAGGCTGCATGTTGTCACATTGTCTGGTCTTGTGCTGCTGGAAAGATGAGAAAGAAGTTTGGTTTAATGCTGTGGATAACGGGCATTCATTTAAAACAACGTGGCAGGCTCTAAACCTGATCCTGCTCTAGTACAGGTCAATTAGAGCAGGATCAAAAAGCTGTTCCATCTACACGTTCATTACTGCAGGAGCAGATCTGAAGAAAAGAAATCATGAGCCTGTTGGGCCTGTGCGAATATTTCTGCTTATCATTAATTGGTAATTATTTTTAGGCTATTCAGTGGTACACCTAAGCTTTTCCTGTACCAGTGACGCATTTTACTAATGACATTTTAGTTTATTAATGTGATCAGAGAAGTCAGCCCATGTCAGGGAATTAATTATTAACTTGCAGACAGTCTCATTTGGGGCTTCAGAATCCGGTTGTCAAATGAATTAATGAAGAAAATAAATGTGTCAGTCTCTGTCTGGGAAGTTGTTTTTTTTCCCATTTGTCTGTGTGGGTTTTTTTTCAGATCAGGGTGACTGTTTGGACGCATCTAGTCCGCAGCACACCTCCATGTGAAAGCTATCTAAATGTTTAAAAGTGAGACAATCAATTTTTCTGATTTAATTTCACCTGTCATACTCCAGTGAATATAATGGAAGATCCTATTGTTTAGAAATTTCAAAATACAGGTTGACAAAACCAGTGCTGTGTATGGCAAAATGGTGTGTCAGGTGGCGCTCATGATTGCCCGTGTTGATGATGGAATGGGACACCTCACCTATGAAAACAGGCTGAGGGAGATGGAGCTGTTCAGCCTGTAGAAGAGAAGACTTGCGAGGTGATCTGATAGTGGCCTTTCAGTGTCTAAAGGGAAGCTACAAGAAAGAAGGGGACAGACTCTTTAGCAGGATCTGTGGCAACAGAGCAAGGGGAAATGACTTCAAGCTCAGGGAGGGTAGATTTAGGTTACATATAAGGAAAAATTCTTTTACAGTGAGATGGTGAGGCCCTGGCTCAGGTTGCACAGTGTTGTGGTGGATGCCCCGTCCTGGAGACTTTCAAGGCAAGGCTGCAGCAGGCCCTGGGCAGCCTGATCTAGATGTCCTTGTTCACTGCAGGGGATTTGGACTAGATGGCCCTTAGACGTGCCTTCTGACTCTAGAGATTCTATGATAACATGCAATGAGTGGTACAAAAGGCCCTCAGGTGTACAAAGCTTAACAGCACTTGAAGCAATTTGTGGGATTGAAATACAGCTGCTTTTGGGAGGAAAAGCTCAATTAGATAAATTAATTTGCTACTTCACTGGGGTACCTGTGTCTAAACTGCAGTAATTTTATGAGTTAAACCAGTGAAGATGTGTTGCTTTCATAGCTGCTCCAACTAACAAATGCTGTGCATTTTGAACAGGTTAACAATGGTCCGTAGTGGAAAAAATGGTGGACTCCACCTGAAGCAGATTGCATACTACAAAAGAACGGGGGAGTATCATCCCACAACACTATCAAGTGAAAGAAGTGGAATCAGAAGAGCAGCCAAAAAATTTGTTTTCAAAGGTAAACATGTTCTTCCAAACTAGTCTGAGAAATTGATTTTTAAGTGAAGATTTACTGATACGAACAGAGAGTGATATCTTGCTGTGCAGCATGCTGTAATTTTTAATATACATCTTCCATGAATAAGCAGCCTGCCTGTCCCTTGTTAATATATAACAGAATGTTTACAGAAACTTAGTCTCCTCCAGTTTTTGCTCAAAAGTTTTATGTATCTGTTAGAAAGACAAACATTAATTTAGATACTGGGGAACTTTCTTTTGCAACACCTTGTTTATAGGACAACAGTAGAAGTCCTGCTCTGTGGCTGTTGACAAGGAAGGTTTGGGTTGGTTGAAACATTTTGTGTGTGACTGGGCAGCAGGACTTTGCTCTGTTACCTTACAGCCTCCTGACCCACCCCAGCTTTGTTGTATCCCTGGGAAGACATAGGGAGCCTTTACGTCTGCTTTGTGCTCTCAGTCACATCCAATCCACCCAACTTTTTTTAGAGAGAAGACAGGAAGGGGTTAAAGCCACAGATCACAATGTGTGGTTGCTTGGCAAGCACTCAATGCACCTCATGATACTGCCTGCATCCCTTTCACACCCCCAGGACTATCTTGTGTTACTATTGAAGATCTGTGGGAACAGTTTGCATTCTGACCTGCGCTTTTAACACCTCATGTCCAGATAGTTAAATGTTGGTGAACAACTGGTTCTTAAGAGAAAATAATGAGAGTCTTTTTAAATCAAACAAATCAGGGAGAGAGGAAAAAAAAACAAAAAACAAAACAAAACAAAAAAAACACCACCCACAACAAATCTACTTTCACACAAAGGTAAAATGAAGTTGATTTAATAAATTCTGCACTGAATCATTCCCAATAGTTCAGCAAACTGACCAACTATAGAAGGCAATATTCTTGATTGTAACTTGCTGGTATTTTTCTCTTTCCAGAAAATAAATTGTTCTATGTTGGAAAAGACAGAAAACAAATGCGCCTAGTAATTGTCTCAGATGAAGAAAAGAAAAAGGTGCTTCAGAAATGCCATGAAAATGCTGCAGGCACTCATCACGGCATATCAAGGACGCTGACTTTAGTGGAAGCTAATTATTACTGGACCTCTGTTACAAATGATGTCAAACAGTGGGTATGGTCACACAGCTACAGGATACTTTTTTTTAAATGTAGTCTTTGTTGCAAACATTTTGTAACTGTATGACTGTGATACGGCATTCATCATTGCTTGATGATGAGGTTACAGAAGCTTACAATCAAACTTTAAGTAGCCTTTATGTCAAAGTGCAGTGCTACTTGTTATTTTTCGTCTCAACTGTGTAGCCAGCTATATTGTATAGCTATACAGCTATGTAGTATGCTAGCTACTGGTAGAGAGACGTGACTTCTTTCAGTGTACTGGGCACTTCTCTGGCAAGCCTTTTTACATATCTTTGTTAGGCTGCAACATACCATCCTGAGTGCACAGCTGGCCAGAGTGACTGCTGGCAGATGAGAATGGGCCTCTGCCTTCCAACTTAGTGTGCTGGGGAAGCAGTTAAACAAATCACTACTTTGGGATATTCCTTCTCCTTTACCCAAAGATACATTGACATAATCCTTAGGCAGAAGCTGATCCTTGAGCAAACTGTATGTGAACGTTGTTCCTTGTGGCCAAATTATTGCTGCTATCAGCTTGCTGCATCACCTGAGTACTTAGTGCAACTGTAACATGAACCAAAAATGAGTCTTGCTTTCTCTCAAACCTGGAAAATGAGTTCTGTCCTGTAGATAGAGCTGATCTGTGTTGTATGTGGCAGATTTTGCTCACTGCCATTGTTTACTGCCTGCAGCAATTGCAACAGAAGCATAAGGGAAATGATTGAAATTGTTTTATTTCAAGCTTGGGTGCTTCATGCTTCCTTTAGTATTTACTGATGGTGATGAAATCTGAATTTGATATTATACACCTGAACTAGCACAGTGCTTTTGGGATGAGGGGAGCTCAGCCCTGAATTGCTGCACACACCCTTACCCTGGTCTTCACTGTGCTTTTGTTTGGTTTTATTTTTCTTATCCTAGGGCTGGAAAAATCTAAGGGTAGCCAATCATAAGAAAGATGATAAAATGAATTTGATGTGATCTGATCTGACCTGACTTACAGAGGAATAGTAGAGATTTATGATATTTCATTGTTGTAAACCTTTACCATCACTTTTTATTGACAGGATCTTCCCTTGCTTCTTCACTAGGTGTATGCGTGCCAGCATTGCCAAGTGGCAAAGAGTACAACCACCACCACACTCAAACCATACCCTATCAAAGCAGAAGACCCCTGGACAGCAGTCACTGTAGCCTTAATGGGTCCATTTAGAGCTACCAAAAGAAGCCACAAGTATGTCATAGTCATGATAGATTTGTTCACAAAATGGACTGTTATCTTGCCTCTGCGTGATACTTCAGCAGCTGAAATAGCTAGGGCAATCATCAGTGTGTTTTTCTTATATGGACCACCTCAAAAAATGCCTATTGACCAAGGGAAGGAGCTTGTTCACCAGGTAAGTCTTTACATAGATGATTTGTTTTTTCAAGAAAAATGTATTTTTCTCCTCAGTAAATTTGCATTTTAGGCCTTTAGTGAGGAGAAAAAAAAAAAGTAAATCTTGAATGCTTATTCTCTTTATTCTCTTTTCTTTTCCCAGAACTGTTTTCTTTGGGTAAAAAACAAAGCAAAATGACTTTTTAATAGTCGTACTGCATATTTTGTCATTTAGTTGGACACAATATTTTACACACCAACATTCCACTGTACTTCATCTATCCAGTATTTCATGTTGCCCAATATGGCAGATAAACCAATGTCAAAATACACTTAGATATAGTGAACTTTGTCTGATCCTCACAGAAATTATGAAATCATGAGGCTTTGATATGAAAAAAATAATAAATTGAATTAGTGGCAGAAATACATTTAGAAACCATTGGTTACTGTATGCTGACCCATACTGATTCCTTTAGCACTCACTCCTAGGTTTAGACTGTTATGTAAGAGTAGGTTGCTCCAAAAGTAGTGCCTCATATTTATATCCATGGAAATGACAACAGTACAGTGACCAGTCTCTTTGATAGAGCTCTTGTTTCACAGAACAACTTCTCAACATAGCACCATTAACTACACTATGAACACGAACCTGCATACTGTGCTTATCAAAATCTGCACCAATGGAAGTGACCCACTGTCACCACTGCTGAAGCACACCACTTCACTGTGCTCACATCCACTGTTGGGTCACCGTAAACATTCAGCAAGTGTTGATGAATGTCAGTGGGTGCCATTTTTTGTTTTTATTTTTTCCTACATGGTGGATTGCAATGACACATCTTTGCTTTATATGCACGTACTTCTATGTCAGACGCAGTTTTATCAGACTGCCCCTCTGCTTCAGTCTGTCACGTGTCAAAAAAATATAGTGGAATATTGGTGGAAAGGTCCAACGTCTTCTGCCCTACCACCAACAGCCACTGTGGGCCAATGTAATAAAATAGGAGGCATTACTTTCAGAACAATCTTTGTATAGAAGACTTTTGCTCACTCGCCACCTCACCAGCAAAATACTCAGAAAACCACTGAGTATGTTTACATTAACTGCATACAAAAAATGGAAAATTTCAGTAATTGTCTTATTTTTCTTTCCAAGATAAACAAAGAACTATTTGCACTGTTTGGAATGAAACAGATAGTATTGTCTTATCCTCAAACCAATGAAGTGAGTGAAAGAACATGCAAGACAGTCAAAGCTTTTCTTAACAAATACTGCATAGATCATCCAAACGATTGGGATGAACATTTGTCTGCTATTGCCTATGCTTTCAATTTGACTAATTTGGTAAGTAAGCATTCTTCCTCTTTTGACTGAAGTCCCACAAAATATGTGCAAAAACTGCATACTAAATTGGCTTGCTTCTTGCCTCCCAAATAAATAGGAGCCAGATGAAAACACCCCTTATTTCCAAATGTTTAGTCGTAACCCGTATGTTGTTGAACCAATGAACATATGTGTGGAAGGAGAAGACAACATGTTTGCGAAAATATTTGAAGCAACTAGAAGAGCTAATCGAGCACTTGAAGAAGAGAAAACCTCAAATGGCCAGGTACATGTTTTTAATTTCAACCTTTACTAGGAAGGAGACTGATGAGAAAAGAAACACAAGATGGAGAGATTTAAGTTTGAAGTATAACCAACCTTTAGAGCAATGCTTTTTTTTTTTTTTTTTTTCTTTTTTCTTCAGCTTGCAATCCCTGGGGTCCAGTGTATGTATGCTTATGTGTAAGAAAATAAATATGTTTCCAGAAGGTTTGTGCTTGACTTATAGGACTGCATATTCGAGGAAACTGAAAAACATTTCCTATGGACTATTGATTTAGGACATGAAGATAAAATACATTTCTTCAGAACACTCCTGTTCTACATATGATGACATCCAAAGACATTTGATGTTAAACTTCTGCATTATTAATCAATGTTATGAAAATATTTGATTATTTCTGGATAAAGAAAATGTAATTCATTTAAATGTCTATTGCAGGTGGAGAAAACCACTTCAGATGAACAGAAACCTAGAAATAAAATCAACATCAGAAGAAAGCCAAAGCAATTAAGTACCCTTCGACTTAAAGTTGGTCATGAAGTCCTCAGACAAAGAAAAAATTGGTGGAAAGATGGTCGTTTCCAGTCAGAATGGGTTGGTCCTTGTATTATAGATTATATTACAGAAAATGGCTGTGCAATATTAAGAGATGCCACAGGATCCAGGTTGAAAAGGCCCATCAAGATGTCTCACCTCAAGCCGTACGTAAGAGGGTCCAATGAAAAAGGTGTGTGTGTATATTTTATATATTTGTATACTGTTAACTTTTACTGCCAGGAGTGTTAGGTGAGGTTGTCACAATGAAAAAGTATCACTCAGATACCATGGTGAATGGAACCAACACTAGCTAGTGGAGAAATCATTACAGTTGTTATTAAATGAGAACAGAGTGTGTTAATGTCTTCAAACCTATGCAGAGTGTGGAGCAAAGTTAATGCATCGTGTTTGAAGTCTTTAAAATAAAGAATTCCATTTAATTGCTTCTAATATGTGGTTTGGCCCTGTTCGTGCTGGTTGACAGAAATATTCTAGAAGTATAATCAGACTGAACTGTATTCATAGAGCATCTTCTGACTGTGTTCCTGTTTTGATACAGACAGGATCCATATTAATTGTCTCTGTGCATTGGAAACGTTTGTCTGTTTGTTTGTGCTTACTCTGGCTGGTACAGATAGTACCTGTTTAGACAAAAAACCTGTCCTCTAAAACCTTGAACTACAAAAACTACATCAAAAACCTGACTTGCAGAGAGTTTGTTTTAAACTGCTGTCATGAAGAGGTAAATTCCTAAACACTTAGGTGACCAGCTGCCACTATTTCTCTTGCACATTCTATGTACCCTTTTACAATGGTCTGTATTAATCAAACAACAGCAGCCATTTACGTTCTGCTGATGCTGCCTGTGGGTCACTTCAGGCATCTGTAGGAAAAGGAATTCCCAGCGTTTGGAAGACTTCTGTCACTGTTGTTCAGGATTCTTGAAAAGTGGAGGGATTTCCACCTCTTCAGCACATGTGGTTGAGCGCTAGTTCTTTAAAGTGCATCAGTTATGTTGAGACAGCCCTTGCTTTCATCACATAAAACTGAGGGTTTACAGAGATGAAAGTTATTCTGGATTTTCACATTAGGAGCTGGTAACAAGGCCATTTGTCAGCCTCTGCTGCAGCTTGTGTCACCAGGACTGCAGTGTCACATAGGTTCTCTCGGATGCTGCTGTTGCTGTAGGACCGTGATTCTGTGGCTTCCAGCTCTTGGCTGAACTGCTGAGCTGAGATGCAGAGTCACGTGCTTGGCCTGCAAGCAGTTCCTGTGCAGCTGCTTCAGCAGCTTGAGTAAATTGTATCTGAGTCTGGAAAGCAAAGTGCAGCCGTCTTTGTAGGATTAGTCTGACAGGTTCACCAACAAACGTTGCAGAAGCGGAAAGCAAAGGGGGGGATTCTTCCCTTTCCCAGGGAGTAACTGAAGATTTGTTGTCTGACACAGGATGGGAGGGGCGGGGGAGAGAGAATCAGTGGGTTATGCATATGTATGAATTCTAAAATTATATTTTTATATTCATACATATTTACACTGCGGAGAGAAGTAAATTAGGTTTGTCCAAAGTAATAGACAGCCTTTACTAAATGGCCTAGCAGAAGTCAGGAAAGGAAGCAAAGCTTCATTAGAATAATAGCAGTGAAACCTGGCAGTGAATTACAGCTTTTTCATCCTTAAAGACACAAGTATCTGTATTTTAACAAAGGACTGTTCTTTGTTAGCAACTAACTTATTATTCCTCTAGCTCTGGTGTGGCAGACTGATAGCTGTCCCTTTGCATAACCTTGAGTGGGGACAAAGTATTTGCAGCTGTCTCTCTGAAATGAATGTGGGAAAGTGCAGCTTAAGTGAGGTGTCCATGACCTTTTAGTACTGCTACAGATTTTGCTTACACTTCAGATTTTTAGAGCAGGTTTTCTTCTGTGTATTGCACTAGAAGTATGCGTTTGAGCTTTTTTAGCAGGAAAGACAAAGGCTGAAAATTGAGTGCTTATTTTTTTTATATGATTTTAAAGTTGTATGCAGTGAAGAAAGGGCAAGTAGAAGCAAAGCATTTTTCTGGCCTTTTGTAACACTCTTGGTCTAAAGATAAATCCTGAATCAGTGCACTAGTATATACTCTTGGCAGAAGCATTACAAATTAGAAATCTATGCAAACCTGGGTTGCTTAGGTGTTTGAATGCCTGGCAGAGGTTGCAGAGCACCCTGTGTACACAAGCATTCTTGTGTCTGAAGCAATACAATATTTTTTTCATGCATTAATGTCGTTTAGTTTAAATACTAAACTCAGGAGAATTCATGTGGTTCCAATGCTCAAGTGATTCAAGAATGCGCATAGACAGATTGAGGACACATCTGTTGAGAATTGTAACTCCTGAATGAATTCATAGCCCCTAGAAAACTTATTTTCCCAATAGTGTCCTCATCTGAGCGAGAAGATAGGTCCTAATGCCATATTCCAGGAGAAAAGTATAAATTTCATGCTGACGTGCATTTAATTTGGCATTTAATTTTATTATATCTCCCTTGGAAAAATCAAACACAGTAAGAAAAGTTCAGTAGAACTATACAGTACTAATCAATGCTGCTGTCATAAAATTCTATAAAACTGTTTTAATTTTTAATTCTATTTTATTTCTCTTCTCCCCCCCAAAAAAAGAAGCTATTGTGCTGCACTGCAATTTCCCAGCAAGAGTTTGGAGATGCCACATTTCTGTGAATGTTGGTGCACAAAGCAGAAGAATGTGCATGTCTATTCATTTAAGTTACTAGCTCAGTAGGTGACTATGACAGTCTTCAAGCTAGTCTACAACACAGCAGAAAAAAACCAACAACTCTTCTAAACATCACAACCATCATTTCGTGGATATATGAGATGCAACCAGACATTTATTGTTTAGTAGAATTAAGAAAAGCACATAATCAGGCTGCTGTTGCTCCAGTAATACAGGTGGCACCCCATTGTCATCTTCACTATGGCTTTCAGTGAACTAGAAGGATCTGCATTAAAGGGTGCTTTCTGTTTTGCAGATGACCACTACTTTTTACAAGATGCAATAGTTGTTGACCATGACTACACAGGCTTATCTGAGAGATCCTATAACGCAGGCCAGCAGGAGCCTGCTGCTGAAGAGGAAATAAATGCCTATGTGAGAAGTGTCACGTCTGCTGTGCAAACACCACCTTCAGCCTGCAAAGACCAAGAATCAGCAGATGGTGGACATCAGTCTGAGATGACAGAAGATCATTGCGTTGAACCAAACAATGCAAAGCCAGCACAATGGCCTTCACCTTGCTGGACACTTCAGACCAAGATAGAAGATTCTTAAGCAGGCTCATGGCTTTTCATTGACAAACAGTTTGGAGTACATGTGGCAGACAGACAAAGTTTGAATAGTTCCAAGTTCCTCAGCCAAATCCACTTTGCTGTATGAATTTAAGAATACTGAAGTGGGCATTAAAAAGCAATCACTCTGTTAACAAAATGTAGGCACAACCTGGTGAAAGCACGTGTTCTACTGTATATACTTAAAAACAAGTAAATGACCAGCGTTAATTGAAATGGACATTGAGAAGTAAGCATTCAATTACCAGTACTGTCACAGCATGGTAAAAGCACGTGTTCTCATCATGCCTTTGTAGCTCAGTTTATGTTAGTAAAATGATTATAAGTCCCAGCTTTACTGTTACCCTCTCAGGACACAACATATTTCGCTGTAATGACCTTTTCATTAGTCCTCATGTGACTCATTCCTAACAGGCAGAAGTGTTGTGGGATGCACATAATCTAAACAACAGAAATTCTGTCTTCCCTGTAGAAGGGCAAAGAAACTGATATAACAGGAACAGGAAGTTTCTTTTCCTTTTATAAAACTGTTTTTTATTGTTCGTAAGAAGCTGCAAGCTCTGATTTTTACGTCTTTGAATTTATACTCTAGTCCATAGCTCTAAGGTGTCACAAAACTGTAAAGCTGCCAAAAGTACAGGTAATATTTTGCATATGGAACAGCAAGGCCTTCAGCTGCTCCCTTGCTCATCAAAACTCTGCTAGGAGAGCAGTTTCAGTTCCTCACGTATGCCAAAATCATAAGAGCAGTCAGCATTTATTTGTTCTTTCCTCACAAGCATCTGGTTTCCCTGAGTGATACATCTTCCCAGAGCTAGCATAGATTGGGAGATTACTGCTGACAGTGCCCAGGGAAAGGTGAGGAATGGTGTTGTTCATTCTCTGAATTCATTGGATAAGTTGTTGCAGGCCTGGACTTCCTGCCAGGAAGACTGTATTTCTTGGTAAGATTAAAATGTGGCTGTTCCTAAAGTCAGCTGAGCAAAAACTCTCATGTGGAAAACTGATGAGTGCAAGCTGTTCCCTTTATAGGGGAGTGACAGGAAGAAGAAGAATGCTAGCAAGGGGCTGAATTTAGAAATGGAGCAGCATCCATTTGATACTGCAGAAGACTTTCTTCTCCTGCCCTCTGAACACCTGGCATTCCTTACTGTCTCTGCTGCTGACTACCATATGGCATTTAATGCAGGTGGCTTTTAGATTAAAGGACTAGTTATAATGGTAGTCTGTAGAGAAAACCTGGAAGAGGAAAGTAGTATTTATTAAAGGCTTTTATTAAATTTAGGTAAAAAGACTTTATCCACAAGTCTGATTAGGTACCCAGCTCATGTAGGAACTCATACCTTTTACATGGCGTGCCTGTGGTGTAACGGTTCAAAGCTAAGTGAAAGAACAATATTCCAGGATCTGATCTTAAAATCCATCTAAAAATGCTTTCTTTTCCCTGCGTATGTTTTCCCTGTTGAGACTGTTTCAGAAGGCAGGAGCCAGGCTCACAGGCTGTGCCAGCAAAGCTCTATTTGTTACTCGTGCACAGTTCCGTGGAGCTCTTTTCTATGGCGGGTGCATGGGGGAGCTCTGGCATAACACATGCTGTGTGCTTGTTGTAGCTACACTGGAGAAAAATAAAATGCTAAGCTGACAGTAGAATAGGAAAAACAGTACCCATTTAACAGTCTGTGTAATGCTGATCATTCAAGTTTCCTGGTAATGATGGTCTACTGCATTAACAGGCAAGCATTAGTGCCCCTTGGGTGCACTAAAATGAGGCCTTCTTTGCACATAGGATGTTTAGTGAAAAAAGGAGAGGGTTTTCAAGGTAATGATTCGAAAAACAATCACTGGAAACTGTGGAAAGGATACCACCAGGAAACCTGAGACATGGCAAATAGCACACGGTGCTCTGGGAAACTGGAGGAAGCTTCCACCCTCGCCCTGGGTAAGCGCTGCACAGTGCACGCTTGTCAGCATGGTGAGCACAAACCTTCTCAGTGAATGCAAAAGTGCCCATCTGCAACCAGGCATGAGGGCTTGTTTTATGTGGGACAGTAGCAGAAGACTCTTATTCCCTGTCAGAATTCTTAGAAATTCTGTTCTTTAATAGAGTTTGTGCCCCCTCGTGACAAGTTGTTCAGGAGATAGAAGAGCACAGCATGAAATAACAGCTAATTTGCTCGCACCTCCCAGCATTTTTTGGTTTGATTTTGGCACCAATTATCAGCTAGCAACTAGTTAGATGAAAAACGCGTCAAGGAAAAACAAACAAAAAAAGAGAAACAATTTGCTGGTGAAAAGCCTCTGTATGAACACTCAAAGTATTGAATGAAGAACCATATCTCATATTTGAATACTTCCTTAACTGTTGTGTAGCATTTGCTCGTCCTGGGCTAATGTGTTCCAGGTCTAGACAATATTTGATATTTTAAAGTTTTTCCCTCCTTCTCCCAAGAACGGAATGTTCCCTGTTGAAGGACAGCAATGACTTACGAGCTGCTTTTCAGAGCGAGCCGTTGACAAATCTTCTGGAACCACTGCTTTTGAAAAATAGATGAATTTCCTTTACTCATGGCTGTGCAATGTCTGTATCAGTGATCTGCTATGGCTGACATCGTTACTCTAATGACATCAGAATCTGTTTGCACAGTTACCTCTTTGGTGTTTTCAAAACAGGAAATGAGAAGAAATATTATATTACTATTTGCAGCAGTTAAATAGATGTTTTCAGCTAACTCACTGGACTAACTAGAACAAAAACACGCAAGCACTGCAGTCTCACCAGGCAGTAGAAAATCAGCACAGAGGATGCTGCTTGCACACGAATCCAACAGAAGTCAATAAGACCAGACAGACAATTAGAAGGCTGAATGAATAAATGGGAATTAGCAATGTCTTCAGGAGATGATTGATATCCCTTTTATACACAGTAGATAACCTACCAGTAATAACATAGTAGGCCTGTGGTCCTACTATGGAAATCCTGGTATGTAGACATTTATGATCATAGAATCACAGAATGATCTGGGTTGGAAGGCACCTTTAGGATCATCTAGTTCCAATTCCCCTGCTATAGGCAGGGACACCTCCCTCTGGACCAAGTTGCTCAAAGCCCCATCCAGCCTGGCCTTGAAAGCCCCCAGGGAGAGGGTGTTTGCAGCTTAACCCTGGACAACCTGTTCCAGTATCTCACCGCCCTCACAATAAAGAATTTCTTCCTAATATCTAGTTTAAACCTACCTTCTTCCACTTTAAAACCATCTCTCCACATCCAGTCTCTACCTGCCCTTATAAAAAGTCCCTCCCAGCTTTTTTTGTAGGCCTCCTTCAGGTACTGGAAGGTCACTATAACGTCTCCCTAGAGCCTTCTCTTCCCCAGGCTGAAGAGCCCCAGCTGTTCAGTTGAAGAACAGTGCACAACAGTGCAGAACATAAGTTCTAATTTGGCATAGAAGCCTCTTGAGAAAGAAGTAACAGCAAATCAGGCAGTAACTTTATTTTAAAATTTGTAATTCAGGAGCTGCCTGAGGGCTGTCTTCCCTAACAAGTTCCCCTTTCCTCCCCTCTGCTTTTACACAGCCCAACACCGCACTTGCAGAAGCCATACTGCAGTTATGGGTACTGCCTGTAGGTGTCCTTCTGCCTGCAGGGCTCCTGGATCCCCTGACTGTGGGGAAGGGGCCTGCAGGAGCCGTGCTGCCTTGATAGCAGATATAGGTGGGCTGTGAGTAGGCTGTGAGCAGGACAGCATCCCCAGCTGCAGACTGTGCTGCCTCACTGCAAGTTGCCAATGTGATGGCCCTGAAATGATGTGGATAAAGCTTTCCATAATTAACCAGATGTTAACTCAGGTGGGCCTTTTCTGGGTGCTCAGAAGGAATCACCAAGCTTTGATCTGCAGATGGGGAATACTCAGAGCTTCAGCTGATGGCAAGAAGCAGAGCCTTGCATGTGTAAAATGATATCCAAGTGGGTTGAAAGGGAATAAATCAGATTACATAGACACTGTACTTCAAAGTAGTTGAAATTTTTTTGTCAGTTTATGCCTTAAATCTCTCTGTGCCTCACTGCTGCCTCCTGTACAAAGTGCATATCACCGTGTCAGTCCCTAGGCACACTGGAAGAAGTACTCATTACTCTTCACAAAGTTGGCAGGCACAGCAATGGGAGACCCACAGAAAAAGGGCCACAGGAAAATGAGGTCTGTATTCTCTGCAGAATTTCAGTTACAAGTGGTACGTAATACATGGTAATACAGTAATAAATCTATCCCCATCAGAGGGATAAACTTGGCACTGAGTGTTCATCCAGTCAGAGGCATCATCTGCAGATTGAAGACCCAGAAAAAGGAGAGCAGGAACTCATCCTGTAGAAATGGGAGAGGCTTCAGCAAACTTAGCTTTTCCAGCTTGATTACTTCTGTTGCCTGACAGAAGCTGTCTGTCTGTCAGTGTGTGGGGTACTCACTCAGATGCCAGACTCAGCTCTTGCGACTGTTATGGCCATGGGCTCCATTTGTTTCTGCTCCCAGCACCAACAGCCACCAGGGCATTAGCAAGGTATGACAACTCGTGAAGCTGCTATGCAGTGGTTCATTTTTCCAGGAAGGCCTTTCCTCCTCAGATTGCATTCTCAGCAAAGGCTGCACTTTGGTATTCACTTCATAGATGCATGCCATTTTTAACATGCTAACTGAAATCTGCTTCAACACACTTGTTCCAAATATACCCACAGCCATAACATCAGTTTTGCATTTGGTAGAGTCAGTATGTTCCTAGCCTTTCAAGCAGGTTGGATTGGTGCAAGCAGACAGGGGAACTGATGGTGGGAGTCGGACCTGGAGTGGGCAGCAGGCAGGATGCAGCCTGGAGTGCTCCTTCCTGTGGGCATATGGATGTGGAAAACATCAGAACAGCGTCTGGGACTAGATGGTAATTGTGGGAAGCAGCACGACCCATATTATTTGAATGCTGCGTGACTGACCACTCACAAAATATGCATTATACAAAAAAGTCTGCTTGTGCATTAGGCCGCTTGCACCTTGACTGCCATGGTGCCAAACATTCCATACAGCTTTGTGGCTTACACAAAAATGGACACTCACCAAACCTGAGGGCAAGGTCTCACAGAGCAGTGCTGCAGCCTGAGACCCATCTCGAGAAAATAAAACGGCAGTGTTGAGAGATTCTCTCCTTTTTAACACAATTCTCTCTTCAGCTGTATCCTAAGAACGTTATAAAGCCACAGTGAGAAGCGTGGTGGTGGCGGACAGGAACTGGGGAGGGTTCTGTTAACACTTGTGTAAACAGAAACCACTTTCAGCCTTCGATGGCTTGCAACAAACCCGGAAACTGGAGCTGCTTTACCCCACCCGGCTACATTTTTCACATTCTAATTATTAAAAAATAAAATAAAATAAAATAAAATCCTGTGTTTTTTAGTTTAAAATTGGCAACTAATTAATAAAACTATTTACAAGAAACATTTTTTTTTCCGTGCCATCTTTGTATGAAGGTATAACAATACTTCCAGTGCAGGCTCTTAAACAAATGTCTCCATATTTAGTGGTGGCTTTTTTTTTTTTTTTTATTACTTTGTATGACAAAATCAGCCAGGGGGTTCCTAGCAGAATGTCCTGCTTCACATGGAAATAACTGATGGAAATATTACCAGAAAGGAGCAGAAGGAAGCAGATTGGCATTTAGAAAAATCTGATGCCCCTTGCATCCTGGCTCCCACGCATCTCTCCCAGTGCTCGCCTAACAAAGCCAGTCAGATGCTCTTTTTGTTTTGAAGCTACCAAGGCCAAACCCAGCAGCGTGCAGGTTTTGCTTCAGCACACAGGCAAATTTTTCACAGGAACCGGAGAGCTGTTTTGGGAGCAGTTACATCATAGCAATATTTTGCTAACAAATTTTGATTATTTGCAATGGAGATACAACATTTTCACTTCCAAGAATTAAAAAATACGCTCATTTGTACGTAAAGGCAAAAGAGGGTGCTAAAACTTCAGTTTATTACCATCTCTTTTATACAGAAAATATACAGTGGCTTAACTTCAGCTTTTAATCGTGACAAGGTTGTCTTCATAGTATTCACTCGTGGTTCTCAGTACCGTGACCCACTCCCCTGAACCCTAACGCCCTGCAGCAGGGCACACACTGCTGACCCAAGTTTTGGTAAGAAAGAAAGAAACCCAGCTTTCACGAACTAGAAGCAGTTGCCATTTACAGTATTGATCTATAAATCCTCATTAACTACTACAGCACACTGCTTAATTAGAAAATTCTTCTTAATCAATGTGCTTCCCAAGGAATCCTACCCACTGCTGACTCACAGCTGGCTCCTGGGATGGCTCTGCATCGTTTTGCCTGTAGGAGCCACCTCCCCTGCCTTTCCCTCCCCTCCCATTGCTTCCAAAAGTAGGACAGAAAAACACTGTCAGCACTAGGAAAGTACACAATATCTGGAGAGGAAGCAACACAGAACACATCTTACAAAATGGAGCCTATATTCCAGCATTTTAGAAAGTTAGCTTAGAAAAAAAAAATCTAAGATTCAAAGTATTTTTTCCTTAAGGAGAAAATATATAAAACCACTCAGGCTGGGTGAGAAATCCTGCTTTCTGCTGCTGTGCAATTACCTTTATTGCCTTGGAAATGCTGCAGCCACAAGGAACCCAAAGCCTATTTTTTGAGCACTTTGCATCAGCAGCAGTGCACTACAACACCCACAATGACGATCATGAAAGCTGTTTCATAAAACCCTGTGGCAATTACAGCTGCGTACACTCTGCTTATAACTCAGGTTTTAGAAGGAGATTAATCACACTGTGATCCTCAAAGCAGACTGATAAATCATGACAACGTCACACAGTGATTCACATGTCGGTGACTCAGGCAGGAGGACAAATATCCGCCAGGTCTTCTGTTCCAAGAGGGAGCACATTAGGAATGGTTAAATGGTTAAGCTTGATTTTGTACGTGTATCATGAGTTGTTAAAACAAACAAACAAAACCAAAACAAAACAAACAAAACAAAACACCACAAAAAGCCCCAAAACAAGGAAACCAAACCGTGTGCTACAGCAAAATATTTTCCATCTTTCACACAAAATAGCACTTTTTCTCCTCTGATAGAAGACTTTTTTTTTTTTTTTTGGTATTTTTCCGTATTAAGTGGTCTGTGTAACTTTTACAAAAGTTGTATACAAAAAACTTCAAAGCATGCAAAAATTCCAGAGTACACTCAGCCAGCTAATGCTCTGCGAACACTTTATTACACAAATTACATTCAGTTCCTGAAAATAGTGTTCTAATAGTGATACCATCTAAAAATAAGACATCCCAGAAACACATCAAGTCAAGAAGAAAAAACAATTAAATAGATACTTTTTTTTTTCCCTTCAATGCAATATAATGTTAGTGATTTTAAAAAAATAGAAGAAGATTTAGCAGCTTCATTTTCTTGTGGCACTGTATTTTCTCTGTACTGCAACAGGTTAAGGACATGGAAGAGGAAAGGCACAAAAAAGAAATTGGCAACTGAATATTTATAGGAAAAATACT